GTGTGCTTCTTAACAATCTGCATCACTTCACTTTGATTTGCCATTTTTGTACTTTTCTTATTTCTACCATGCACACATTTATACGCGGTTTCCCTTATATTTTACCGAGTATTTTACTCACGAGTGAATTCAAGCAAGGATGCAGATTGCAGATGTTCAAATAAATTATCTAGGAGATTTTATAATGAGTTAATTGGTATCTGATATTTCAAAGTTCAAATCTGCTTAATCTACGATAAATAGTTGATGACGCTAAGTCAAAATGGTTGACGTCAAGATTCACCGAATTCATCTTTCGATTATTATTTTTATCGAGATTTTTATCTTAGTTATCTTAGTTTGTACTTGAAGTACTAAGATCAGTAGAATCAAGAATCACGAGTCTACAAACGTAGTGGATTATTGTTATCAGTTGGAGATTAAGTAATCGAATTTCGGTATATGGTCATGGTTGACGAAAGAATCATAATCTCCGACCCCGAGAACCACCAGATACCAAATTTGAATAAAATCAGATCCTAATTACAAAATCCGCCAGTTTGGATCCGCCATCTTGAATTTCTTAATTTTGACGAAGGATTCATAATCCCCGATCAAGAAAACCCCTAGGTACCAATGTTTGAAAAGAATCGGATTATAATTACATAGCTAGTCCGCCATATTGGTTCCGCCATCTTGAAATTCTGACGAAAAAATCATAATCTCCGACCCCGAAAACCCCTAGATATCAATTTTGAATAGAAACGGACCATAATTACAAAACTTGTCCAATATATTAAATCCGCCATCTTGAATTTCCTAATGGTAACGAGATAAAAAGTCCTATAACCTTCTCCTGGTTCTAAGCTACCTCCCCACCAATTTTCTGCCAAATCGATCCAGTAGTTTCGGAGCCTATTCAATACATACAAACGAACAATCAAATCTTTCCTCTTTATAATATTAGTATAGACAGAGATTATGGAGTGTATAATCTCTGGTATAGATGAATTCTATTCCGCTATATCACGCACAAGCTGAAATACCATCCATCTTTTGTGATTATACCTTCTATTTACACCTTCTATAGGTACTATATCTTCCATTCTAATCAAAACTACACACAAAAAAAAGAATTCTCAATTCGAGAAAGTATATTTGTTTAGTTCGATTTACTCAGATTAAGTAGATATTGTGTAATTCTGAGGAAATATTTTTGAATAAAGTAAATCACTTTTCTTCATCATAAATTTTAATTTCTTCCACTATTTTTCTCAATCTGAGAGTATATAGTTGAAAGAAGAATATCATAAGCTCAATGTAAAAAAATCGTGTATTTTCCATCAAGCATTACCAGAAATGTCGAATCAGCAAAATCTGAGAGCATATAGTTGAAGGAAGAATCTCATAATCTCAATGTGAAAAAATTGTGTATATTTTATCAAGCATTACCAGAAATCTTGAATCAAGAAAATGTATATCTGATTTTCTTCATTTGAAAATCTAAATTGAGAAAATTCTTGAATCAAGTAAATCTCCTCAAGATTTATTTGGCATATCCCCGCCACTTGTTTATCCCATACGTGCCGCGACTTGCTATGACACAATGACACGATTCTTTTTGTCGGCGCTATTAAGTCCCGTGCTCCATCTGTGAATCCCTGTCCCCCCCCCCATGCAAGCTTTTCGGTGCTAACGGAGAAACGACACGCGTCATTCGCATCATTTAGTTTTTGGTTTTTGGTTTTCGACTTTCGTCCTTTGACCAACTTTGTCCATCCACTAAGTGTCCAAGTGTCCAAGTGTGGCCGCAGATTAACAAACCGGATAATATGGAGTTACTGTTGAAGTCTTCGGATTCTCAAGAAATAATTGAAACATTCAAAGGTAAGTGCCATTCGTTTGTATACCTATACGTAGTTTTTAACGTGCCTATAGATATTTGAAAAGTTCTGCCGAGTAGTATAACTTCCTGACTATATCGATTCGAAAATCATGATCATGCAAGTCTTCCGATGAAGAGTTTATTCTAATTCAAATTTGGTAATTGAAATCTTCAGGATTTTCATAAATTCTCGTGAATTCTGCACACATCTTTGATATTATATGACTTATTTTTCGATATATTAGGTATTATAGCTTGGCGAGGGAAATGAACCGAAAATGTTTCTTAATGAGTTTCTCAGAATTCCTTGTAATCTTCTCGAGAATTGCCTTGAATTATTCGACAATTTCTGGAATTCTTTGTGAAAACAAAGTCTGATTTACATACAGGGTGCGCCTCTTAAAATTGAACCCCCTCCTAACTCATTCGTTTCGAGAGATATGAAAAAATATCAAATAAAAAAATTGTTCGAAACGACCTAAACTTTTATTTTGTGTACTGGTTTTGATTAATTTTTACATATTTTTATTTTTCAGAATCCAGCCGATGTTGAGTCCAAAGTGAAGGAACAAACGGACTTTGCCTATAATAGAAAATTGACAGTGCAACCTTACATCATCAAGGAAGGTGATGTACTCATTAAACTGAGAACAACATATGTTGTGGTCGACAAGATAAGTAGAACACACCAGGGAAGCATTCGATTTGTTGTTCAAATTGTACCATGTTTTCTATTTGAACTATCCCCCTCAAAGTGAGCATTTATACACAATCATCCAGAGGGCGATTCACAAAATTGTCACGAAAACTGATAAATTAAGTCCCCAAATTCATGAGGTTTGGTCTTTTTTTGATTAAATAGTATACATCAGGATATCAGAGGGTCAATGGAGCTTACGATTTGTTATTCAAATAAATATTTCATTAGAGCAACCTCCTCAAAGTGAGGAATTACCTATAAACTGTTATTCAGACAGCAATATTTTGTCTCTTTTTGATTACAGCCTATTGGTAGGGTATTGAGTGAAAATAAAAAAAAAACGTTTATATATAAAATATATTATAAATATATATCTACCTATGTGTGAATATTGTATTGGTGGAGTAGCTTTTAGTTTAAGAGAGCGTTTCTGTTTTTTTCTTATCTTGAATATTTTATGATTTGTTATTGTTTCATTTTCATTATCTCAACCATGAATGAAAAATATATGAGTAAAAATAAAAGAACAATAGTTTATATCTTACCCGTGTCTCTATCCTGAGAAAAAAAAATGCATCATGTGAAAAAAAAATTCAAGAGCCGTGAGAATTTACATAAATATTGCCTTGAAAACACCAGTACTAGAACTAAAAATTTAATGAAGAAAATATTATTTCTCATTGCAGATGTTGATGAAATTTTAGCATTCCTTTTGACTATAACCTCAGAAAGAAAGATTTTTCATTTTGTTCAAATTATTTTACCTCAATTAAATATCAATTTAAATACAAGGAAGTCATTTTATCAAAGTAAAGAAATCATATTGTCAATCAGAGACCTCGATATTTTTGGCCCAATGAATTTATGACTTGATCCGAGATTACTACATTTATCAAAATAAGAAATTCATATTTTTGAGATGACAAAATTATATTTTGTTTGAAATACATCGATATTCTTGTTTCAAGAAAATGTATCCGTTACACGAAATAAATTAATGACTCACTCTGACTTAACTATTTTATCAGAACAAAATATTCATATAATAGTAGTGAAAAAATCATATTTTCAATCATAGTGCTCTAATATTTTTGGTACGAACAAGTGTGTTCCTTACATCGAGTGGATCAATATTTCATATCAATATTACTATACTGTGAAATCGAGAGAATAAACTATTGATCCAATACAATCGTATCATTCAAATGGGTATTTTAAATATTTCATTGAAGCATTTTTATTCCGTTCAATTCAAGTATTTTGATTACTCTAATGAAAACTATCTCATTGTCTTGTTGTAATTGAATAATTGTTTTAATCTGAAAATATTTACATGACAATATAGTTTTTTCGCAATGAGAACATATTTATTTGAGTATATATAAACAAATCATTTTCTTGGATTGAAGCATATTTATTTGATCGGAGAACTTTTTTTTTTGTGTGTAGTAGTAGTAGTAGGTGGGGAGGCTGTAGCCAAGCAAGTAGGCCCCGATGGGCCCTTTTTGCTAACCCCTGCTCTGCGGCAAGTGGGGTTGTCCTCTATTCCCATAAGTGATAGGTGTCTGCCTAGCCTGTTGTGTCCTGTGAGTACTCCTATAAGGAGGCGGAGTACTTGGCGGTCTCTGCCAAGCAGCCACTCCTTCCTTGATTTGCTTGGACCGACCATAAATTCCTTGGCCTGCCTGCAACCTGTGATATTCCTCCAGTATTCTCCTAGTGCCTTGTCCGCCCATTCATCGAGGGCTGACGTCTAATCAACACTAACCCCACCCCTCTCTCTTTCAGGGTGAATTCGCTCCTCGGGCAAAATCGGGCATGGCATCAGCGTGTAATGTTAGGCTGTTGCACGGTATGCCCCAACTGCACGCACGCGTTCCAGTGCATTTATTCATCTTATTTAAAATGTTTATCTATTCATTATTGTATATTCATATGAATTCTATTCCGCTATATCACGCACAAGCTGAAATACCATCCAGCTTCTGTGGTTATACAGTTTATTTACACCTATAGTATACTTCATGTGCTATATCCTCGGCTATATCTTCCATTCTAATCAACACTAACCCCCCCCTCTCTCTCTTTCAGGGTGAATTCGCTCCTCGGGCAATCGGGCATGGCATCAGCGTGCAATGTTAGGCTGTAGCACGGTATGCCCCAACTGCACGCACGCGTTCCAGTGCATTTATTCATCTTATTTAAATTGTTTATCTATTCATTATTGTATATTCATATGAATTCTATTCCCCTATATCACGCACAAGCTGAAATACCATCCAGCTTCTGTGGTTATACAGTTTATTTACACCTATAGTATTCTTCATGTGCTATATCCTCGGCTATATCTTCCATTCTAATCAACACTAACCCCCCCCTCTCTCTCTTTCAGGGTGAATTCGCTCCTCGGGCAATCGGGCATGGCATCAGCGTGCAATGTTAGGCTGTAGCACGGTATGCCCCAACTGCACGCACGAGTTCCAGTGCTGCCCTCAGCCGCCGGCATGCTGCCCCGCGCGACGGACGCAGCTGTCGCTCGGCAGCGGGGGCGGTCTAGTGGCCGCCCCCAGTCCGCAGGTGTCGCCCAGCATGCCGCTCGCCTTCATCCTGCCGCCGTTCGCGCCGCCGCTGCACGCGTTGCCGTCGCCCGGCGAGGCGCGGCCCGACACCGAGCTGGAAAGGCTGTCGGACACCGTTCGGGCTCTGCGCCAATCAGGCTGGTACTATGAGGGTATCAGCTACCAGCAGAGCGACGATCTGCTCAAAGGTACTGTGGTTTTATTTTATTACAGTTACTGTGAGGAAGATTTTATTGGGTCTCAACACCCAACAAAGCTTGTGGCTCCGACGGAATCCCACTGATTGTTCTCAAGAAATGTGCTCCCAAACTTACACCTGTACTCTGCAAGTTGTTCAACAACTCTTACAAATTGTGGATATTCACGTCCAACTGGAGAATCGCAAGAGTACAACCAGTTCCTAAAAAAGGCAAAAAGACCCTACCTAGCAACTACAGACCGATCGCACTGCTATCTACTATTTCAAAGATCATGGAGAAAGCTATCGGGCATTATCAACGATAGGCAATATGGCTTCCGTCATCAGAGATCAACTGGTGACCTGCTCCCTTACGTCTCACATATTTGGCAGCAATCTATTGAAAAATATGGTGAAAACTTAGCCGTGGCACTTGATATCTCCAATGCATTCGATCGAGTCTGGCACCACGAACTCCTCGCCAAGCTTCCATCTTATGGCTTGCCTCCCCAGCTATGTTCTCTGCTAGCTAGTTTTCTCTTGAACAGGTCTGTCCATGTAGTGGTCGACGGAGTTTCATCTGACTCTCTTACCATAAATGCTGGTGTTCCGCAAGGATCAATTCTAGCACCAATACTGTTTCTACTCCATATCAACGATTTGTTGAAAGCAACTTCATGTCCAGTACACAGCTTCGCGGATGATAGTACCCTCCATACCGCCTTCTCTTCCAGGGCTCCAATACCAGCCAGGCAAATCAGAAACGAACGAGGGAGAAATGTTGACAACATAAATATTGTTAATAACTTGTTTTTAATTCAATTCAAAATTTTCTCATAATATGTACTTTTTCCACTCAACCAGTTTTGATATCATACCATGGCTATTTGAAAAATAGTTCAATTGTACCATTTCACTTGTCATCTGTTTTGTTGACATCTTGTCATCCGGAAGTTTGACGTTTGATCTAATGATTTCGATTTTTCAGTGACAGCTAACCTATAGTTCACTAATACCATCAAGTGACTCTAGTTCACTCAAGTCTCACTCATGTGTGTTTTTGGAAATTTTTCAAAATCTTTGATTTTTCACCTGATGAAAACCTCCTGAGGGTAACTTAAAGGGTACAGGCCCTCTCAAAATAAAAATACCTGTTTTTATACTTTATACTTTAATATATTTACCATTTAAATTTAATAATATTCAACAACTTTAGAGAAAAATGTTCATCCTCATGTAAGTAATAACAACTATTACCATATTCCTGTTACAAGTTTAGACTTTTGTAGGATGTTATAAACCTTGGCTGATGATGAGAAACATGTCCCCCCTTTTTGCAACATAATTCTGTTCACCCATTGAATGTCGTGGAGATGATTTCGAGATTTATTCTTCCTTTAAAAATTATTATTATTATTATTATTACTCAAAGGCACCACCGTGGGCACGTTCCTGGTGCGCAACTCCTCCGATCCGAAGTTCCTGTTCTCGTTGAGCGTGCAAACGGAAAGAGGCCCCACCTCCGTGCGCCTCTTCTACTTCAACGGCTACTTCCGGTTGGACGCGCAGCCGCACCTGCAAACAGCGATGCCGATGTTCCCGAGCGTGGTGAGCCTCGTCGAGCACTACATCGAACAGAGCAGGCTGTGCAAGAGCAACGCGCAGGTGTGGGTGGACCAGCAGGGTAAGTCTACCAGTGGCTTTATTTTACACTCTTGTAAACCTGGCAGAACCACTTCAATATTGCTGATTTGCTTTAGTGCTGTAATTTGCTAATGATTTAGTACTGATTTATTACGATATTCGCGAATTAATTACCCTTCCTTTAACAGAAGAAGCCAACGGCTCTCCTAGCTTTATGATTTTTTTTTCTGAAAACTTCGAATATACCATGAGTTATTATTTCGGATATTACTATATTACTAAGTTATAACTATAAACACGAATATTATACTCATCCGATGGATTTGTCTGTCTCGATCTCAACCTAGCAGAACCAAAGTTGAAACTACATGATTGTGTTTTTGAAATTCTATTGAGTCCTCAATAAGTTGCTGATTCATTACAATTTCATCACCACATTCGCGAATTTATAACTCTTCATTCAAAAGAAAAAAACAATGGCTCTGCTAGCTTTATGTCAGATGTGAACAAATTATTTTGAAAACTTCAGAGAGCCGTAGGTTTTTTCTGTTCAATGAAGGGTTATAAATTTGAGAATGTGGTGACGAATTACAAATAAAGCACTAGCTTATTAAAGACTCAATTGAATTTCAAAAACAAAGTGATTCGAGTTTTGGTTCTGCTAGCTTGAGATCAAGATAGCCAAATCGGCCTTTTTCCATCAAAAGATCGAGTAATAAAATAGTAACAAATTATGGTATATTTGAAATTGTAAAAAAATACATTTTTCTGTGACGGGAAAATAGATTGAAATTTCTTCTCTGCTGACAGGTTATAAAATGTCACTTTTCATAAATTACATTTTTCCCACGGGAAAAAAGTGAGTACCTACTTTTTTTCCGGATATATACACACTGTAGATGGCTTTTGTTGTGCTATAGTTCCGAAAAATACGGCAATAACACCGTCTCCGAGAAATAACTGCAAGTCTTTTATTTTCCATTCAACTTTACCGACTTTACGATTACGAAATTAATGAACAACCGAACAACCAATTAACTAAATTAATATCAAATCACACAATTAGACTGATAGATATTTGATTACTTCAAAAACAATGCTTCAAAAGTATGATAAAGATGCTTGCAAAAAGATTCCTGCAACGCAGGATGATGGTACGTTTGAAATGAGCTCTGAAATTCAACAATTATTATTCACATAAAAAAAGCGTGAGAAGTGTTGCAAAATAGTATATTATGTAACAAGTGTTATAAACGTCCTTTTAGTAACGAGTGTTTTAAGCACGAGCGGAGCAGAGCGGAGCGATGTTTAATAAACGAGTGTCTAGAAGAGTTTATAAACGCGTTACATACTATGATTTTTACTCCGAAAATTACATTAACATATACCTACCTGCAATTCCTGCTAACCTGCAAAATAATTTGGAAGGAATGGGAAATGAGAACATAATACATGCAACTGCATGCAACCAGCTAGACACGTATATATAAGTGATATTGGTTGTCAGTCCATTGCCTACTAACCTTTGTTTCATGCTTAGCGCAGAATAAACGAATTGTTCTCAAAGATGGAAGCTTCATTTTTACACTTCTTGTAGATATGCAAGTACCAGAACATTCTCTTCGATTTCACTCTTGTCTACTTTTCGCATATTTTTTTAATGAAGAATTCTGATACAAACGAATATTGTTTGAATAATTCTGATACAAAATTCGAAAAAAAGCAGTTGACAGTAAATACAATTGACAGGCCAGACATGTCTCAAATTACTGAAGCTGTGTTTAATGAACTGCGTTGCCATGGTAATGTGATTAGGAAATCGTGTTGCCATGGTAACGTGTTTAATATTTCGGATAAATCACTGATCGACAATCCGTGATTAATCGATCATTTAGCGTGGTACACATCCGTACGCTAAATGCCATTTTAGTTATGTGAGTAGAAAAAATAATTTAGGTCCCAAACGGCACAGTGGAGTAATTGAATGACAATAATTCATTTTCAATCCGACCGCCCTATTATGGGATTGCAATAAAATCAATTCGAAATTTTCTATTTCGATTTTGAAATTTAAGTTGACATTCGACCGTTCATTCTAGGCAAGTGGTACTCCTCCATTTTGCTGGACAAACCGTTGAGGAGGAAGTCGGAGCCGGCCGGCCTGAAGCACCTGGCCAGGCTGGCCGTGCACAGGGGTTTGAAGCGGTCCGGCCAGCCGAGGCTGGCGATGTTGCCGCCTCCGCACACCCAACTGGATCTGCCCAAATCGCTCGCCGCCTATCTGTCGGAGTATCCCTTTTCCCTTTGAGTCGCGCCAAAGCCTGGTTGGTACCTATACATACCGACGTCAGGGAACACCAATAAAGTATTCTAAAATGCACCCGTGGTGCCTAGTTAGGTAGGATAACAAATTACCAATATCCATTCTGTTTGTTAATCTTATCGTGGACGGTGTACCAGTGTACAGTGTGTCTCGGTATATTTTGACCGCTACCTACAGCTTCAACTATACGAGGTGGAAAAAATTTCAAAATATGAATGCTGTAGGGTTTGGAAACTCCTTAAATAAAATTAGTTCATTAATATTCGAGGTGTTTTTGTACATACAGTCTAACGAATATTTCCATGATATCAGATTTTTTCTAATTCTTCTTATTAACAAGAAATTTCATCCAAAAAATTGAACAAAAAACAAAAAAAAATTAAGTTCGCCACTTTAAAACAATTTGAATGATTGAAATCCGCGTGATTGTGCCTTACGCACGAAAATTTGATCAGAGGTGACAACAGGATTGCTACAGTGTGGAATTTCGGGTGGAAAAAGGGATCTAACCTCAAATTTTACTTTGATCCCTATATTTTTTTTAATAGTACCACTGGATAGTATACGTCGAGCTTACTCAATGCTTGACATATTTGCACTTATTTCAATGCCACCTTCTGTATAGTTTGCTAATGTTTCCTCGAGCTATTTTTTACTTATTCAGCATTGAATCAAAGTTGACAATAACATTTAGATGGCTTTAGACACAACAGAAATGCCTTGGAAACAAAGCAAACATTTTTTGATAACTCTGTCAGTTTTTCAACAAAAATTGATGTTATTCGCAATAAAGAATAACACGTTGCCCCACCTGACGGCAACAACTCGAACACATCTGAAAGGTTTGTTTTGATGATATGACCAATAAACACAAACAAAAAACAAATGTGAACAAAGTACACAGGCCACTTTGACAGCTTTCAAGAATTCCGATCGGTGACGAACGCTATGAATATTTGTGAACAGAAGAAAGATATCTTTCCCGAAAATATACAGGGTGTTACATTAAAAAAAAGGATTTGGACTCTTTCTTTCTATTTTGCGATTCGCATTTGTTCATTTATGGAGTGCCAAAAAATGGTACTGATGAAACCCTACAACTTTCATATTTTGGAGTTTTTGTCCACCTCGTATATTTGAAGATGTAGGTAGGCGTCAAATTATAGGAAGACAGCGTACAGGGTGCTTGGAATTCGAGCCTCATGACAAAGTTGCGCAATTTCATGAATAACAATATGCTGTTCTGAAACTTGAAACATTCCGAATACTTTCGGATATACGAAAAAAAAAAAAATTTCCTAAAACTATTTTTATGTTTCTTTCAAGTTATTTGAGGAATCTAATGGAAATGAATGACAATTTTATCATGGCTACTTTTTCTTCCCTACAAGTTGGTGTATCAACTTATCTTTTTCAAATACAGACCTGGATATTTTATTTAATTTTTTCAAACCTTCGAATATCCCGAAAGCTATGAGCTATCACAAATTCTTATTTCCGAATGTTTCGTTTACAAAAATTGACCATTTCGTTCATAATATCAAACAAATACAGAAATCGTCAATTTTTGTGAAGGAAACTTTCGAGCATAAAAAAATTGTGATAGCTGGTAGCCTTTAGGATATTCAAAGGTGTGAAAAATGAAATAAAAACTCCAGGTAAAAAATAAGTTGATGATGGTTTCTGGAAATGGAGCGTCGGATTGCAAATTTGAAAACACCAACTTGTAGGAAAGAAAAAGTGGCGATGATAAGGTGTCATTCATTTCGATTTTTTTTTTTTCGTTCATCTCCGAAAGTATTCGGAAGTTTCCAAGTTTCAAAACGGCATTTGGTAGGCATATAATTGCGAAACTTTGCCATAATTAAACCGAACCGAGATCCCAATGATGAGGCTCGAATTCTAGCCACCCTGTACATGGTGTCGAATAATGAAGAGCAGAACACTTTTGAGGTGAATCAATGTGACAAGCTCCTATAACCATGGACTCGAAAATATCGAGGTTACAGAGATTCTAAGTTAGTTGAATTACTTTTTTTGTATTGATATAGATCTTCAAATTCTCTCCGAAGTAAGTGAACGTACATTCTTTCCTAAAGCTAGTCTTAAAAAAAGTTATTGTCCTGAAAATGAGCGCTTTTCGAAAATTATTGATGCTTGATAATTGTGCCTCCTCAAAATCGGAAATAAAAACGAACTAAAGAGTCATGTCATGTCAAAGATCTTTAGCAAGTCAGAATGATTTAGCATTTAGCAGAAACAAACTATGATAATTTTGATTTCTCAGATAGAATTTCGCCAGTACTTATCAAACTCCCAAAGAATTTGCTCATCATTTCAGACACCTTGTATAGACCGACAAGTAGTGACAGATTTTCTGACGTGATTTCACACAGCATGCCTTTGGGAGGGTATCATTATGTATACAGGGTGTCCGAAATTACATAGAAAGATTTCCAACCACAGATTCCAGGAACAAAAATAGTAAAAAAAAGTTCATATAAACATGAGCCCAGGAATGGCCCCCATGAAAGATAGCCCGAGATGGTGTTTTTTTGTAAATATTCTCTAAACCCTGTGCTGAGATAACAAAATTTTGTTCATATACAGGGTGGGCCAAATTGGACACATTCTGTCCAATTCTCGAACTAGTTAGAAGAAAACTGATGTCGGTGCCTGAGCGTCAATTCTCATGCAAAAATTAATGGTGAAAACCGCTTATCGATTTATTCCTTCGTTTTGGAGTTACAAGGTATTCTTCGAAAATTGTCATTTTTTAAAAATGTACAAATATTTTTTTTTGAAACATTGTCTGTTCTCATGAAGATAACTGCAAAGCATTGAGTTTGTGATAAAAATTATTCCTGAGGCACTGAATTCGGCCTATCATCATTTTTACCTAAAAATGATACACTTGTTTAGTTTCGATAGTACTCACCATTTTCGAGGTAAATCGATTTTAAAAGTCTTCTGCGTAATAAAAATTGTACTTTTTCGTTATAGAATACCTACCATAATATTTTTCAAATTATTTTTTTTTTATTCCTCTCATATTTTGAGTGAAACATCACAGGTAGATGTTAAAAAAATGGTATTTTCTATCGAAAAATAATTTTTGAGAAAATTTGCTACCATCTTATAAGGAAAAAACACTATTTTCGATCGATTTATCTCAAAAATGGTGAGTGCTATGGAAACTGAACAGGAGTATTATTTTTGAGTAAAAATTATGATATTTTCATATTTTCTGATCAAACTGCCGAAAATTGCATTGAAAAAAAAAGTTGGGGGAGAAATGCCCCTAACCCCCCCCCCCTATTTCCCACGCTCCTGATTAAAATTTCCGAAAATTCTCGGGTATGAAAACTCGGAACTATTTACATTAATCCATTATCTCGGACTACCCTGTAGATAGCTTTAGCTCCCAAAGGGGCAATTTTTTTGACCCATGTTTACATAAAGTTTTCTCACCTTTTTTGGTTCTAGAATCTGTGGTTATATAATTTAGGGACACCTTGTATATTTTGATGTTAATAAATTATACATGAAAGAATCATCCCGGGTTCTTCATATATTTAAAACATGTCTTAAGGTTAGGTGTAGTTGGACATGCACTTATGTATAGCACAAACATGTATACTTCTTAAAGGCAGCCTGTTTGAGAACAAGATAAAATCTTTTTTTTTAATGCAACTACACCTGATTGGATTACATTTTGGGCTCACGCAAACAGTATGCCTTGGTATTTTCAACTAGTGATATCATACCGACATCCTTAATTTGCGAAAAAATACTGTTAATTAACTTTGATGCATGAATAACCCGGGAGAACTCTTTTATATATAATTTATTGACATCAAAATATATATATAATAATAACCTCCAAATGGCATACTGGCTGAAATCACGTATGAAAATTTATCACTACCTCCCGGTCTAGTAAGTACATTCATTACGTGAACCAACCTATAGTTATAGAAATATCTGCCTACCTACAAGTAATGATTCCTCGATAATATTGGACCCCTCTTGTTTCTGGAAACCTGCCAGTTATATTTTCATCTCAAGACAAAACAGAACAACAATATGATATTTTAACATAACCATACAAAGACATGCTCGTTGTGTTCAACTGAATGTAAAATTATTGTTCCTGAATGGATTCGAGGAAGCAATTGAAACGATGGCAAGATATTTTCCCAAGTGCATTGAGATCCCTTAAGTTATAATCATGTATCAAAGATCTAGCTTTGCATGAATTCCTAAATGTACTTATAGGTAATTATGTCCAATACAGCTGCCTAACTAAGAAATATGAAATATATTGTAGGTATCCTATAATGTCACCTTAACATATTTGAATTAATCTCTTTTGATCCCAATAAGAAGTCTATCAACCTATTAACTAAATGGTACTTTACCAAAGAAATCATACCATTGATTTCTATAATGGAATTCATCCTGAAGTTCTGTATTAAACATGTAATTATTATATTTAGAATCGATTCTACTGTAATCTAATTATTATATATATATTTATGTAATGATGTTCGAGGAATTGAGTGTCTTTTTATTCCTAATTGATAAGCCATGTTAGTTCCTTTTAGCATAAAATGTTGATAATTATTTTGAGAAATGTAAGCCATATTGGCTAAAACAAAATATTCATCATCTTATAATTATTCATAGTATCACTATTTATTGTTATTCACAATATCATCATTTCACGTTTTGAAATCACAGAGCTTTATGTTAATCAACTGAAAAATGTTTTATTACAATATTTTTTGTAACTATGATATCTCACTGATTATATTCGAATACCTCTTGATGAAGTTTGTGTTGTAAAATAATTAGGAAATATATTTTTTATATACGAATATAGGTACTGTACTGATTTGAATTTGTTAATGCAAATTTCTAGTCTGAAATAATATTTACTAGCTAAAAAAATGGAATTGAGTGACAATTTGTTAAACAATCATTATTTCTGAGATTAACAAACAGAATTTCATACAATAAAATGTAATCATGAATGTATTTATAAAATTGTAAACATGGTATGAATGGGATTATGTGTGTGATTTAGCTGAAATGTATTTATTTCTCTAGAAAAAATTAAATTATTTATTATCATAGAAAATTATTTGATTTACTCCACAAATCGTGAAGGCTAACTTATTATTTTCTTTACCTATGTTCAGTTGAATTCAGGACAAGTAACATTTTAATATCAAACTGATATCAAAATGGCAAGGTAATCAATTAGCATATAAGTGTAAAAAATACCGAGTATTTTCTAGTCCCTATCAAAGGTAGGGCCCATCCATTACCACATGCAACTCTTCTTCACAAGTTACCGATTGACTAAGTCTAAGTGGTTGCTCTACAGTTCATCCACTATGCTGACAGGTGACACTACCTGATATTAAGTGGATAAAAAGATCGAGAATCCCGGATGAAAATAGTCGGCACACGCAAAATTTTTAGTTTATGAAAATCGTCGTCGTGAAAATTATAACAGTTGTATTAACAAAAAGTGTATAACGCGTAATACGGGCAATCGGCAATTACTGTTTACCAATTCTCTCTCATAAATACCAAGCATTGGCTGAGCCAGTTTTACACAACGAGCAACTATATTTACTTAGACTAAACTAAATAGTCGTTGATTCAAAATAGCTGTCATATGAAACATAATTTGTGGCTTTGTTGTCGAATTGTGTGTGACATTCGTCTACGTCTTTTTTTGAATGACAAAAAAATGTTGTTTTCTTGGAGAATTGTTTAATGATTTGATGGTTATACATATAAGATAGGTGTTCAAATGCTAGGTTTTGTTATCTCCGAGAATTGATTGTTATGCATAAGAAATAGGTCAAGGAAATCAAGATGTCATATGCAGGTAAATCTCAATTCAACAGTTCAAAGTGTGAAGAAGATTTGATTGAGAAGGACCAATAATTTCATCAGTATAATACCGAATGAATGCCCAGAATTATTGCTATTGATTGAATTCACTCAAGCGCCAGATTTTGACATGTCAAAAAAATAAACACTAAAATTCGGCAACCTGTTGATGAATACAATAGAATTTCACAAATATCAATTTGTAATTTTTCTCAGTTTCTTTCGATATGATGAAGTAATGTAGTATAACCAACGATTCAGTTTACTCTGCGGATCAAATGGGTCATTCAGTCTCTGTTTGAAGGTACTGAAAAGAAAACACTCTAGTCCCTGAAGGACAAACATGAAATTTTATACATTTTAGCCCCAAATAAAGTGGAAAAATGAAATGAATCCGATCCTTACCACCCGTGTCGTTATATGTCAGCAGTTTCTCGGTAAAACCTGAATGCTATATAAATAGACAAACTTTCCTTATTTGAACGCATATCACCAAATCTCGGAATGAACACGATTCAAAGAATCTGATAATCAAATCGTTTACAACTAAGCACGATAAGTAATGATGATACGGTACGTGGAATTGATAGCCGAGTTTTGTATTTGCTTAAACGATTTATTGTTGATTCATCATCTCACAATAATAATTGTGATTACAGGAGTTATTGATAGAAATTGATCCGTATAGCTATAGGTAGGTACCATATACTTACGAAGCGGCAAAGCGATTTTCTTTCGCCCATTTTCTGATGACACTCGCTATTTGGTCTGCCTGATTTGAGGTGCTGCTTCTGAGAAGTTGAAGAACGTCACCTAGCATGTCTACCGGGAATTTCTGCGCAACGACACCCTGTTTATGTATACATAGAGAAAGAATGTCAAGCTTAGGTAGGTAAGTATTTTTCCATTGTCTGCTAAATATGGAGAAAAAATCTAGTGAGCTGGAACTACTGGTCTTCCCTATAGCTCAGTTGAGAGTATGACCACTAGAGGATGTTACCGTATCGTACGAAATGATCTTCACTTTTTTCTAGAAAATTTTCGAAATTTGTGGTTATGTAAGTTGTCACTAGTAGTCAGTGTCGAGAGCTGTCATGCCATGCCATCGTGACTTATTTGTATTTTTTTTCTGAAATATATCATTCTTTTTCAATTCTCATTGTTCTAATATTTCTTTCGGTTATAGTTTTATTTTTTTGTTGTGCTCCCAGTATTATACTAGTTTATTCTGATTATCAATGTGTAACAAACTCTGTCTCCTCTTATTGTGCCTACCAGAAATTGGGAAACCATCTCCATTCATGGATTTCCAAGTGATATTTCTTTGCGACATAAGTGGATACATTCGATATTGAGTGTTACAGGATCATTACAAGCTGTTACAAGTAAGAAAATCATAGCCTTTATCAAATGCTATAATAATCGATACTACTGATATTCTACCTCTCATGGGAAAAACGATTCCATCAGGTTCAAGAATAGGTGTCATGACAAATCATCATTTCTTATGAGAACTGAAAGCATTGGATCATTCTCCTATATAGGATCTAATTTCTACAGATTTGAGAATCGGGCCCCAGAACTGTAAGGGCCAGTATGCCAGTAAGGGGGCTCGGACATGATCTAAGTCGAACTCACTGAACAAACTACACCGCCGTCCGAGACTGCCGAGAGCACTACTGAGGGAGGCTCCAACTCATTTACGATTTTCAAGGTTATGTAGGTTTGACAGGAAAACAATTCAAATGTTTCCTCGAGTTGGCCGTATTGGCGGTACTACTGTATCGGCCACAGAACCCTGTATGTGATTTCCCTTGTTTGGGCAGACCAGATACTCCAGCTCACTAGATTTTTTCTCCATATTTAGCAGACAATGTATTTTTCCATGAGTTGAATGAACACACAAAACAACACTATCGAAAAATATGATTTCCCAAGCTAAAAACTATTTTAACTCAAATGCGTGAATGAAGAAAAATCTATGATATGTTTCAGCTTAAATCCAATAGTATGTTTCTTGAAATGTATCTGGTTTTACCCCATTCTGAACTTTTGTGATAAACAAATATTCAACTGATGAACGAATATATATACCTACATATAAGAGTCTAATTTCAAAGGAATAATACTATATGTATCTCGTTGATATATATTATGTACCTACTAACTTGATATCGACCTCCATTGAGGTCCTTCAGCCTTATCATTCTATATTTCGAGAAGAAATAATTTTCTAATCAATTTATCGTACCCTTTTACCCACTTGAGGAGACGCCATGCACTCTCATACAAAAATCAAAGACAGAGAATAACATATATGGATGTACTCTTCCCAGGACTTGTGATGGAGGACGGAAGATGCGAGGATCCTGTATCTAAACGAAAAACATATTCTTGTCATTGTCTGGCAAAACATATGATTTGCTTTAAAATCGTTTGTGGTTATGTTTGATTGTCACTAGCTAGCTAGTCAGACAATGGAGAAGACTTTCAGGACTACGGCAGGCTAAAGATCTCCTTGGAAATTTCAACCGAGAAAGATCTAAGACACTGACAATTCTCAGCAAAGGAAGTCTCAAAGCAATAACGGGATTTCTAACGGGGCATTGCAGACTCAAAGAACACCTATATAAGGAAGCTAGGCTTACAGGAGGACGGCACCTGCAGATTCTGTGAGGAAGAACCAGATACACCCCCCATCACATACTGATGGAGTGTGACGCTGTACATCACAAAAGATTGAACATACTGGGAACACATCAGCTGACTGTGGAAAAAATACCACACCTAGACCCCCTCAAAATCCTCAAATTCCTGAAGGAATTGAATCTCGAGGGGCTGCTATGAACAAGAAATCCTTGATATAGCAGGAGCAGATGGGGCACAATAGATCTAATTGGGTCGCAGCGCATCTATCACCATCCAACCTACCAATACCAATACCACTACCTAGCTACAAGCACACAGCCAAAGAATAGTAGGTTAGTCACCGCCAAACATCCGTTCACTCACCTGAAAAACTCCTACGATCGCTCCTCTTTTTCCCTCCCAGAACTCCGGATTCGGTTCGAGTTTGTCGAGCATATCGAACGCCTTGGCCGAATACCAGAACTCCCCCATTCGATAGCAATCGTTGGCGATCAACAGCAACAAATTGAAACTCTCCGGAGAACTGTCCATCTTCTGGTACAGCTCCCAGGCGTTCTGAGGCTTCCCGTTCATGATGTAACAGCGAGCCAGGTTCGAAATGTACACGTAGTCGTTTTTTATTCTCGGGTCTTGCACCAGCAAGAACGTCTCTTCGGCTTCCTTGAACTGATTGCAAGCCGTTTTCGCTTGGGCAAAATCGAAGTTGAAGGTATCGTCTGAAATATTACACAGTGTGTGTCCAAGGTAAGGATGTCTATCATAGTGATCTCGGAAACCATAAGGAATACGGAGATTGTTAAATTAAAGAAAAGTTGCACATTTTCAAGCCTAACAATATGCCGTTTAGAAAATTTTAAAATTCGGAGTTGTTCCAGAGATATGCCTGGTGATGTAAAATTACCGGTAATTTAAAAATCGGCAATATTACGTAGTATTGCGGTAACATTGGTAATTTATGAAAAAACATCCCTTTCCACAGTGAGTCTGTTTCTTTTTTGCCGATGAATGAATCCATAAATATATAGATAGTAATAAACAACACCTTTTATAAAAATAATGTCACTTATTATGATGAAAACAGGAAGACTATTTATAGACCGTGGGCCCACGACACCACAAGTGTCGATAGCATATGTTCGTATGCCCTTTTAGGGATATACTCAGACGGCCCGGGCAACCAGGAAAACGTGTCTCCGAGCGTCTATGACCAGTCCTTGCACCTGCTACGCCCTCTAGTTTCGGTTGAAAAAAGGGTTAAGTATTCGATGAACGAGGAGGCTCGGGCATGTGGATACATTATCGTATCTTGTAAAAATATCCGGGCGCTAGCCGGGTTGCATACGTCTAGGTCGCTACCGGAAGAAGGCATACGAACCGGAAGTGGCAATTTTCCAGTGGCAATGGGCGATAATCGAGGAAAGTATGCCCTTTGGTGGAACGACTCCTTTCGACCCATTAACCACTATTCCGACGTTTGCATACGATTTCAGAGAGGGCATCTCGATTTATGGCCATATCAACTTTCCGATACGTCCATGGGTCTAACCTACAAATAGTCGATAATTTATGTTCGTATGCCAGTCTCGTCGCCGATAGACTACGACATTTTAATGAACAAAAGCTGGTTTGCATACGCCCAGGTCACTACCAGAAAAAGGCATACGAGGCGGAAGTGCTAATTTTGCACTAAGATTTTTCGGGCATAAATTTTGATTATGTGGCTGTTTTTTATATAAAAAAGGTAAACATTATATTTTTATTAAATGAAAATGACATTCAATATATGAGAACGAAATTATATTTCCTAAACAAGACACACAAAGTCATCTCCACAAATTTATTGACTGAGTAATCAGTATCTGTACATGTTTCGGACTATCAATAGTCCATCATCAGCAGCATATTTTAATTGACAATTTTTGTGGAAATGAAAAAAGGAAAAGTTAATAAATTATTGCATGATACAATTTTTAAGATTAAGTAATAATAAAAAAAGAAGGGCAAGTGGCCCAAGGCCCAAAGGGGCTTTATGGGGGATCCCAACACTTTTTCATCAAAGTGATAACCGATTTTTTTTTTTTTTTTTTTTTTTTTTTTTTTTTTTTTTTTTTTTTTTTTTTTTTTTTTTTTCATCGGTTATCACTTTGATGAAAAAGTGTTGGGACCCCCCATAAAGCCCCTTTGGGCCTTGGGCCACTTGCCCTTCTTTTTTTATTATTACTTAATCTTAAAAATTGTATCATGCAATAATTTATTAACTTTTCCTTTTTTCATTTCCACAAAAATTGTCAATTAAAATATGCTGCTGATGATGGACTATTGATAGTCCGAAACATGTACAGATACTGATTACTCAGTCAATAAATTTGTGGAGATGACTTTGTGTGTCTTGTTTATGAATCTATTCACTCCACTTTGAGATACCATGGACTTTTACCATAGAAATTATATTTGTTCACGATCATCTGTAATTTTTTCGTGGAACTGTTATTCTGCATCATCATCGGTATCATCTGTGTCTGTGCCATCATAATCTCCTTCATCCTCGCTTTCGGTGTCTGAACTTTCAGGCGATTCCGTACAGTCTCCATCATTTTCCAAATTCTCAGAAAGTTCTTCTAACCTCAGCTGCAGCGGTTTTCGTAGGCCTGTTACAGAAGACAATTTTTTTATTTTTCTTACGCGATTTTTCGATTTGCCCCACACCAAACGTCCCAATAGAAGTTTCACTTCAAAAATATACCTGATACTTCCTCAGCTGCGTTCTCGTGGATAATAATGTCATTCACTTCTGCGGGAAGGCTGGCCCCCAGGTACCAATGGAAATCGTAGTCTTCATTTTCCAAAATCCAGCCCCACTCACATGGCTCAAGATCTGTCGGCACTCTGAGATGAGCACCGCTTCACAGCTGGGAAATGAAAACAGTAGTCCGCCTGAAGTGCTGTTCTAGTTCAGCTTCACAAGGCGGCAGTCGTGAGGGGTCGTACTTAAATAAAGTTTTCAGCAACTTCTCGGAGTTTTTCTTTGGTGTATACGTTGCCGAGAACACGGCCAGTCTGGCCCGGTTTACCTCAGTCTCTTTCTTCAGCCCATACATGAGGCATACAAACTTTTGTATAGTTTGGAAGGTATTCCTGTACTCCTGCTGAGATCTATAAAAAATTAACAATTTAAAAGGTTGACCCTGGCGCAGATTATGGTTTATCATTAACACAGTGGGACAGAACGGGCAAAAACTGAACAAAACCCTTGCTTTAAGATATTCTAGGGCCAATTTTCACCGCAGTGGCTCATTGATAAGCCCATTGAATTTGTGATAAGAAAATCGCTACGAGGAGGGCGCAAGTCACATCCATATATTAGGAAAATTTATCAAAATTTCTTTCTTGGCGATACATATATGAATAACGAAATTCCGTGGGAAACATATATATATGGACCTATATTGACTTGAGCACCGTAAATATATACATTTTTATTCGTCCAAAACCATTTGGAATGATACGCTCGGATCATTTGGAGAAAATGTATATGGGGGAACACGCGTTAAAAAATATTCCAAAAATCTTGATAAAAATCGAATAAAAATCATGATAATGACCCAAAGTCCAGTTTTGAAGCTAATGTCGTATGAATATATGGGGGTTTCCATGAAGTTTCAATTTTCATACTCGGTTTATAACATCTGGATTAATATCAATCCAATTTTCGACATTATATATGTGTGCCCAAAAAAAAAAAATAAATGTAAAATAATGAATTGACGATATTTTCTGCCTGGAGCTAGTAAATGTTATTCTGTAATATCTTACCTTATTAGGTCTAAACTGGACATCATCTTAAATGCCTTCTGAAATTCGTCAGACTTCTTGAGTAGATTGAAGGGTATTTTCTTCTCTTTCTGGTGGAACGTTGGATTTTGATCACAACCAGTGAACAAATGAAATGCTGGAAGAGCCTGTGCAAGAGTATTTCCCAGCTTCTCATGCAATTTCGATACATTAATAAACCGGCGTTTTGTCGATACACCTATTTCCATCCATATTTTCGCAGATTTCTCCATTTTGTCCATGTTTGAAAGTAAAACTATAAGCACGTCGGTATCCGAACACTTGATGACTGGTTATTCGTCTTTCTTCGCGACGAAAATAGTTATTCGTGTCCTTTCCACCGAAATAATGGTTTTTCTTTTTTTTTTAATGTTGGCACTGCGCAAATTGTATGCAAATCGTTATTTGAGATAAACTTTCACTTCTACTAACCGTGGTCTAAATTTCAAAATTTCCTCAATTGTCGACTATTTGTAGGTGAGACCGGAAAGTTGATATAGCCATAAATCGAGATGTCCTCTCTGAAATCGTATGCAAAGGTCGGAATAGTGGTTAATGGGTCGAAAGAAGTCGTTCCCCCAAAGGGCATACTTTCCTCGATTATCGCCTATCGCCACTGGAAAATTGCCACTTCCGGTTCGTATGCCTTCTTCCGGTAGCGACCTAGACGTATGCAACCCGGCTAGCGCCCGGATATTTTTACAAGATACGATAATGTATCCACATGCCCGAACCTCCTCGATCATCGAATACTTAACCCTTTTTTCAACCGAAACTAGAGGGCGTAGCAGGTGCAAGGACTGGTCATAGACGCTCGGAGACACGTTTTCCTGGTTGCCCGGGCCGTCTGAGTATATCCCTAAAAGGGCATACGAACATATGCTATCGACACTTGTGGTGTCGTGGGCCCACGGTCTATTACTGTGTTTCCAAAATATCGCTTATCAGTCTTGCATCTTGCCACAGCCAACGGGGAGCCACAGATTTGTCACATCTCAGATTTCGATGGTAACAGTATTCCTCGATCTATCTATTAAGGAAGCGGGAACGTCTCGTTTGACCCAATATTCGATTCGCCCAATTTTCGATTCACCCAATTTTCGATTCTCCCGCACCGTCTCCGAACATACCCGAAAGATGCGTTGTTGTCAAATAATGCCACATTTCCTCGTCAATGAAACGGGAATTATCAACAATCATTTATTCACATTCAAATATGTTGTTGAGCCACCATTTCGATTCACCTAATTTTCGATTCACTCAATTTTTGATTCGGCCGAGTTAGGTCGGTTAGGTAAGTTAGGTTAGGTAGTTTGGAAAAGGTAGTCTCCTTCCTTATGCATCAGAAAAGAATATTTTCCTTCCTTATACAGTGTCATTCATAAAGTCGGCATCATATGGGAAAAACTTTTATTAATGACTTATTTTGAAATTCGAGTTGGACGTTATTAAGTTTTGCTTCAAAAAAGATGAAAAATGGCCTACTCAATCGGGGTCACGTGACTTTCCCTACATGTCAAAAGTGACATTTTTTCAAATTAATCGCTGAAAGTAGGCTTATTTGTTCGAATATCGAAAAAGTTCACTTGAAAAAGTTGTTTCTATTTACATTTTACATTATGTGACTCGGATTTTTAGATTTCGATATTTTTTCAAAATTTTCGAAATTTCTGTAATATTAAAAAAATTGTAAATTCGATAGAACTACTTCATACCAGTAGTTTCATCATGCTACTAACTTTCAATTACTAATTATCACTAATTATCGACAAAAATATGATTTTCTTCAGAAAATGATAATCTCCGCTTCAAAAATATTTTATGTTTGATGCAAACATAACATCAAAATTCTGTTATGTTTGAGTCAAGCATTTAGAAACGAAATTCATTAAAATGTTTTCTTCAGTACTGAAAAGATCAGTTTAAATGAATTTCGTTTCTAAATGCTTGACGATATATCAACTTTGCATCAAACATAACAGAATTTGTAAGCGGGTATTATCATTTTCTGAAGAAAATCATATTTCTGTCCATAATCAGTGATAATAAATAATTGAAAGTAAGTAGCATGAAAAAGCTACTGGTATGAAGTAGTTTCGTGGAATTAACAATTCTTCAAATATTACAGAAATTTCGAAAAATTTAAAAAAAAATCAAAATCTAAAAGTTGCAATAGAAAGATCAAATTTGAGAAGAATGTGTAAAATTGGAATAGAAACAACTTTTCCAAGTGAACTTTTTCGATATTCGAACAAATAAGCCTACTTTCAGCGATGTATTTGAAAAAATTTCACTTTTGACATGTAGCGAAAGTCACGTGACCCCGATTGAGTAGGCAATTTTTCATATTTTCTGAAGCAAAACTTAACGTCCACATCGATTTCCAAAATAAGTCATTGATAAAAGTTTTTCCCATATGATTCGAGTATATCCGGAGATGGTGGGTGAATCGAAAATTGGGTGATGACTAACGCCAAATAGAGCTGGGCAAATAAATGAGAATATAGAGCGAAAAAAAAGCAATATTCCCAATGATACCGATCTTGCGGTAATATTACGTAATATTACCTCGGTAATATTACCCTTCACATAGCAATATATTTCAATCATTATAGTTCTGTGAAACTGAAATGTGTACCTATGTCACTATGAAACCACTTCTTTTCAATTCTAATTAGAATCTAGTCACCATGACAACATATGACAAGTCGTTATTGATGAATATCTACTATAGATCCGAGTGCAATTGAATGAATGAATATCGCATCAGAACAGTGAATTCGGGTTAATTATAATAGAGGTGACTTTATTGACTACTAGCAAACCTCGCAAACGTTGTTTTCTATAATCAATATTCATCAAGACACTATTATTATTTTATTTTCTACTTTAGTTTCGCTATCTATAAAAGCGTGTTTTTTTAGTTTTTCAAACTACCATTTATTTCAACTTCTTTTTAGTTCACTTGAATTCCCTAATTTTCACGAAGGAATCATTATTTTTTAATCCCGAAAACGCCCACTTACAAATTTTGACTAAAATCGGTATATAATTACAAAACTCGTCCGGTATATTGGTTCCACCGTCTTGAATTTCCAAATCCCGCCCTTTCCAAATTTTGACGAAAGAATCATAATCTCCGACTCTGAAAACACCCAGATAACATTTTTGAAGATATTCGGATCGTAGTTTTACAATACTCGTCCGCCATATTGGGTCCGCCATCTTGAATGTTCTAATTTTGACGAAAGAATCATAATCCCAACCCCAAAGAACCACCAGATACCTTTGAATAAAATTGTATCCTAATTACAAAATCCGCGATGTTGGATCTGTCATCTTGAATATCCTTATTTTGACGAAGGAATCATAATCCCTGATCACGAAAACCCCTCTAGATACCAATTTTGAAAAGAATCGGATTATAATTACAAAACTCTTCCGCCATCTTGAATTTACAAATTCCGCCCGAATTTTCAAATTCTGACGAAAGTATCATAATCTCCGACCCCGAAAACCCCCAGATACCAATTTTGAATAGAATCGGACCATAATTACAAAACTCGTCCGATATATTAGATCCGCCATCTTGAATTTCCTAATGGTACCGGGATAAAAAGTCCTATAACCTTCTCCTGGTTCTAAGCTACCTCCCCACCAATTTTCAGCCAAATCGATCCAGTAGTTTCGGAGCCTATTCAATACAAACAAACAAAAACAAACAAACAAAAACAAACAAACAAACAAACAAACAATTAAGTCTTTCCTCTTTATAATATTAGTTCATAAAATGACGAAAACTACCTTGGTAGTGAAAACACACTTTACGCATTCAAATGGAGTAAATAATAGTAGGTTCTATACAGGGTGTTCCGAAACTATTGTGCCAAAATGTAAGGGTGGGTAGATCTCGTGAAAACAAACGTTTTTTACCCATCAACCCATAGGCGCATGCGCCTTATTTCGGTACTAATAGGTATCACAAGAAAAAAGTTCAACATAATTATGTATGTACATACTCAAATAATATCGATATCGAGTGCCCAGCTCCACCGATTTCGACGTTCCAGACCAATCGCCGCAGTTTAACATAATTATGTACATACACAAATAATATCGATATTGAGTGCTCAGCTGTACCGATTTTGACGTTCGAGACCATAGACCAATCGCTGTCCTCCGGACACTCGCATTGCGTAGTAGGCTACTCATTTATTATTGCGTCGTGGCAATGTGTTAAACCTGACTCTATCAAAATTGTAGTGTTTTTTCTTTCAATAAACTCCCAAATATTGCTTGTGATTTTATGTCATTTACTAACACGGTTTCCGGTACAAACACGTTTACCCGCCGTGGCCGAGGTTGGATACCACTGCGCAGACCTTAATGCGCTATTATCACTGAACGCATGCGCATGCGCCTATAGGTTAATGAGTGAAAAACGTTTGTTTTGGCGAGATCTACCAACCTTTAAATTTTGGCACAATAGTTTCGGAACACCCTGTATAGATAGTGGTGTAGAAAATAGTATATACACCTCAGGGCAGAATGCTATTTTTACCTCGGTGCTTTCAATCAATCAATCAAATCTTTATTCCTTTAGACAATTATACATTGTGTCGGAAACGTCAAAATTTTTGAAAAATACATAAAACACACAATACATAGATATACAGAAACGAAATACAGTGCAAAATGAAATAAAATATCACTGTACCGGACAATCCAAGAAATCTTGCACAGTATAAAAACAATGTTGCACCAAAAATGTTTTGAGGCGCGTTTTGACTTGATTCAATATTCTCAGATAAATGATTGAAAACACGTGGTCCTATGAAGTTAGGTGCATTTTGGGCTACTTTGTATTTTCCAATTTGTGTATGAATTAGGCCTTTCTGGCGAGTATTCATGTTATGAATGTGTTTATTAAGTTTGAAATAGGTTATGTTGTATAAACTAGCGAGAGTCAAAATATTACTGGATTGAAAAATTTTGTATCTCTGGAGCTCCGCCTTTGAGCTACAAGTCGCACCTTGGAGAAATTCTTGTATTTCTAATGTAAAAACTTCACAAGTAACGGCCAAGTCAATTCAGAATCTTGCATTTCTGTCCTTTGATGCATAATGTAAAGTTTTTCCAATACAATAATGCTCGTTTTTGGAAACGAAGTAAAGTATCTATTGCAAGTTGCGGAACAGTTCAGATTTCTTGAATCCCAAAAGCAAAAAATTGTTTAATTTAGAAAAGGCACATTTCACATGCACATTGCACGTTTGTAAATTTGTAAAAATTTGACTGGGATAAATCGGTATCTATCTATCTATCTAGCATGCGATCACTGTTTAAATTTTCATTTTTTGAAAATGAAAGATCCTCAACTTCGATAATTTCTCGACGGGTTATACCTGAATGAAGGTAACTTTTGATAGAGGTGAGGTAAACCAAAACTTCCTCAAATTGTCCTCCGAGGAAAAAAGCTGCTGCCATGCATTGTCGGCCGTGAATCGTATCACACTCGCTAGTTGAGCTGCCCACCAGGTGAAAACATTCCTCTGCTATTTTGATGTGCTCTTGCTAACACAAAAAAAAATTGAATCAGTCAAAAAGTCTTATTAGGAAACCTGACCACGTGAAATGCTAGTTTTTTTTCATGGTTACACTCACTTCAGTAACTTTATTTCATCTCTAGACTAGCGTGGAATTGTCGAAAAACTCAACTCACACTTCAACAAAACAATAGAATATTTCGCTGGTTCAACATTGATTGATTGTCTTTATTACCCCTAGAAATAGTAGGAATACATGAACAAATTTAAGAAAAATAATTCAACTCAGTGGAAACAAACTCTTTCAAGTTGTTTCATTACAATTCTGAGTAATCAAATGATGCCAAATGTTTTTCAATCAGACTGTCCTGTCCAGGAATTGTTCAAAGTTAATTTTAAATCTTCTTATATTTTCGTATAATTTTCAGTTGTATGAAATTATTGTAATGTGAAATATAGATTGTTTGCCAATGTTTGAATTTTGAATGTATCTGCTAACAAGTAATTGCAATTGTCTAAGTATGGATTGAATTGACTTCATTTTTCAAGTTTAATTCATTCCTGACAAAACGAATAAAACAACATATTTTGAGTTTATGTAACAAAAACAGATTTAGAAAATTACTAATTTTGTATAAATCTCCGAATCTGTATCGTCAACCGTCTTTGTCTTTTAGTTTATCCCAGAAAACGCAGTGAGTGAGATAGTGATTTGAGGTACCTAGGTGAACAAAAATTCATTATTCCGTTCACGTTATGATTTTTCACTATTTGCGTATCAATTTGGCGATGTTATAGGTATCGTCGGTTTAAAAATGTCTATTTCAGCATTGAAAAATGTAAAAACTGTTTCAATTATTCTGACGATTATTTTTTTATTAATTTATTCTTCATATTTATTAAAATTCAACGGTGAACCATACCCAATTGGGTATGCGTATTGACTGGTTCACAGTGTACTATAATACTCATCTAGTGAATTAGTAAATATCTATGAAAGTAGCGAATTATACTCTTCCATTTATCTTACTACTTTTTGTTTGAACTGTCACATATTCTTCAGTTCTTGTATTGTTTCGAAAATATATATTTTTTTATGTATTCACCTTGTTTTTATACTGGTTCACTGTGAATCCATCAACTGATGCACTGTTGACATGGTTTTTTGAAAAAAATACACTCAGTTCCAAAAAAAGTGACGCACTTGATATTTGACCTATCTTCTGAAAAAAAAAATAGTGGGCCGATTTTTATTTTTTTTTATTTGTTGGTAGGTAATGCATTTGTCTTAAAGAGGTGACCATTTTTTCAAAGCCTCCTTGATGGTGGTGGAATAACTCGAACAATGATTTATTCTTAATTTTCGACTCACCCTGTGTGTTAATTGAGTAATGACATAGAAAGTGCTTGCACCCTATACGAAAGAGGCTTCTTTTGCGAGCATTTTGTTTTTTTATTCATTGATTTATCTCTAAAATTCTCCGAATTACAGCTTTTTTTGCTGAATCCTTGCAGATTACCAACTTTCTGAATTTATCGAGAAACAATTTTCTGATGGAATAAACTGATACCAATAATTTTAAAAAACATTTTCATTAAACACAAAATTATAAATTGGGATGACTGCTTAATACCGTGTATTGCCTCCTCTAGCAACTCTAAGAACTTCTAATCTACGACGCATACTGGAAATTAAGTTGCTTATCGTTTCCATTGGTATACGATCCCATTCTTCCACTAATGCATCTGCCATTTCTGCGAGACTTTCCGGAGACCTCTCGCGAGAACGTACCCTTCTCCCTAATTCATCCCTCAAATGTTCTATAGGATTCATATCAGGGCTTCTCGCAGGCCATTGTAATGTGGTAATACCAGTAGCTTCTGAGAAGTTTCGCGCAATTGCTGCGGTGTGTGGTCGGGCATTATCCTGCCTCAATATAAAATTATTGCCCACTAATTCTGCATAAGGTACGACATACTGCTCTAAAATGTCAATGTAAATTTGGGCATTCATCGACTGCCTCACCGGAAAAACATGAAGGGGTGTCTTTCCATTCATTGAAATCCCTCCCCACACCATAACGGACCCACCATTAAAACTTTCGCATTCTGTTATTGAATTTTGATTAAACTGTTCACCAGTTCTTCTCCACACTCTTTTTCTTTCCATCCACCATGTTAAGGCAAAACCTTGACTCATCCGTAAACAAGACATTCGACCATTCAGGAATATTCCACTGTCCATAATTTTCAACAAAATTTCTTCTAGCAGCACGATGTTCGGGCAATAATTTAGGACCTTTTGTCTACATACCGTCTGCTTATACTTACTGCAACATCACGAATTTGGCGAAGATCTTGCTGAACATTTACCGCAGTATTTGTTTTTTCAAAGACAATGTGATACTACCAGAGTACAACCCAATCAATTTTGAGTACTCTGATCCTTCAATAAATGTAATTTGTGGGATAAGCGTAAGGTATCAGCAAAAAAGCTGTAATTCGGAAAATTTTAGAGATAAATCAATGAATAAAAAAACAAAATGCTCGCAAAAGAAGCCTCTTTCGTATAGAGTGCAAGCACTTTGTATACCATTACTCAATTAACACACAGGGTGCGTCAAAAATTAAGAATAAATCATGGTTCGAGTTATTCCACCACCATCAAGGAGGCTTTGAAAAAATTTTCACCTCTTTATTTTTTCTTTAAGACAAATGCATTATTACCTACCAAAAAATGAAAAAAAAAAAAAAATCGACCTACTATTTTTGTTTTAAGAAGATAGGTATCAAATATCAAATGCGTCACTTTTTTTGGAACTGAGTGTATTATAACTCACTTTGATGATTTGAACGATAACTGTGGATGGGCTTTTGTTGCCGAAACCCTAGACAAGGGCGTCGCCAGAGAGGGGCAGGGTGGGGCAGCTGCCCCCCTACGTTTAACGCTCACCAGTCACCCTGCTACCATTGAAACGACTATTTCATTCATCACATAATCTGACCAATCACAAGCCAGAGAAAACGTGTGCTTATCGCGAAAACTAGATGTTTTCAACGATGTAACCATGGGTAGCGAAGCGAAGTCTGTCAGTCTGGCAAAAAATAATGACTGTACTTGTCAGAATGAATCATTAATTCAAAATAAATGCTTCTTTGCTTCGTGAACGTGAAATAGTCTCCACTCTGTTCTGAATATATTCTCATAATTCTTCATTTCCTTGTCAAATCTATTGTGCTGCCGTACAGCCCTACCTTTCGTCCTGAGTCGTGGTGTTGCTCAGCAACACAATTTCGTGAACAATGAGGCGATAGAATTATCTCGAATATTAAGAATATCGTGATATTACTTATGATAACGCTCACTTTGAGCAAAGAACTTCCGAAAGTATATTTTTCTCCTGAAGTTGAGAAGGCTCTGAAGATCCTTGTTGCCTTTACCTTGTAAGATTTGTACAGTTGAAAGTTCATTTAGTAGCCTTAGGAGAATCAAAACCTGGTTGAGGAGCAATGATGAGTATACACAGGCAACATATTTTCAAAAACTTGAACGATTTCGTCAAAAAGTGACCAACGAATTCCCAAAGAACCCTATAGATAAGATTATTTTTCAACTGATTTACTGTATAGATTTTTTTCTGTTTTTTTATTTTCTCATTGAACTGTTTCTATTTGATTTTTCTCTTCAGTTTTTTTATGGTGCTCCCCCCTATTTTTTCCGCTGGCGACGCCCTTTCCCTAGAAGACTTTGAATGGAAACTATATCATTGGTGTTCATTATAGACAAAAGCCGTTCACTGTGGGACAGTTCACCCTACCTACTTTATTAGATTGACAGCCACATTAATACATTTTGTCCCTACCGAATTTAGTTCCTGTCCAAGTGCCGCATTAACAACTCCTTTGAGAATATACTCTTGCGGGACTGCTGGCTGCAAATCTTTCAGCAAATCAAATGCCTCTTTGGTATCATCATTCCGAAGATAATGTATGACCAAATTGAGCCTTGCTTCTGGCACAATGTCGACCAAAGACGGAAAAATCTAAAAAATATATTCAACTGGCAAAATGTTGGGTTTTGTGTATGGTGCTTCTACCTGCATAGCATCTTCACCATCTCTAAAAACAACAAGATTATGTTTCAACAAATCATACCCGAACCCTACGTTGGAATTTTGCTCTACAATAGAGCGTAACTCGTTTTCAGCAGATGTACCATTGTAGAGACGAAAAGTATTGCAAGCCTACAAAAATAAGGTTTTCATGAAAACTCTAACTCAGTAGAAATATTATCAAAGTACCTTCAAATTAGTGGCGATAACAGAGTCTGGGTGTTGCTTTAAATATATCCCCAAAACTTCTTGTGACACATCATAGTAATCCAATTTGTAATAACACAAAGCTACATACACATTTAGAGCAATATTTTCCCTGCAAATATACAAGATGATCACAGTTTTGAAACAAAAGAAAACTGTTATGGTCAAGATTTTGAAACCAAAGTTACAACCAAGCGAGCACAAACATCCTTGGGATGTTTTGAAAATGTTGGCATGAAGATGTTATTTTGAGACGTAATATGCACTGACCAAAGAGGTCTTTGAAGGATATTGAATTATTGTTTCTGTTCTTCTGTGGCATTTCTTTGTTTGCCTACTGAGAGGTATCCCTGGGATGTTTTGGGATGTTTTATAAATGTAGGCATGAGGATGTTTTTTTGAGGCGTAATATGCACTTCCCAAAGAGGTCTTAGGAGGATATTGAAAGTATTGTTTTTGTTCTTTTGTGCCCTTTCTTTGTTTGCCCACCACAACGTCTCATGCTTGCGTCACAATACGATGAATTCTGATTTGTTTTCGATTTTGTTCTTCTTGTTCGCAATTGGCATTCGCGTTTGCAGCGTGTCACGCTTACATCACGCTGCTAACGAACAGAAAGGAATTTGGTGAAGTTTATTGTGCTAGAAGACTTATTTAGTTTGTAATAATGACCATCAGATGCAAGATGTGTTGTTCGGTGCCTCAGTGTAATCAATATATAAAAGTACGAATTCATCAATACACAGCTTCTCCGCAGTTGCAAAATCATTGTGTGTAGTAAGCACTACTCAGAAACCGATTAAGAAGGTAATTTCATATCAAGAAAATATTTTTATGTTCAATCTATTTTTAATGCATTTTTTCATTCAAGGGAAATGGAATCCTAATGCAAAAGTTCATTTTGACAAAAGGCTTCAGAAAAGTACCTCGAAAATGTTTTTTTTACAGCGATTTAATGTGCGCAAGACGCGTTGAAAATGTTCTGTTGTGTCCATGAAAAGGCTTTAAAAAGAACTAGGGAGAAGGTAGTTTTGTGACATATCAAGGACATCTCGATAATTGCCGCCTGCGGCGGACATTGGCTGTTCTATAATAGTTCTATTCATGTGTGAACAGAACATCGCAGTGGAGGTTCAATGTCTCGAAATCTCGTACTTTTAACATCTCTGAGATGTTTTTGTGCTCGCTGGGGTATTACTATAAGAACCTATTTTGAAGAAGTAATCTCTTGTAGATATCGATAGCCTCCTGATAATGGGCTCTCAAATAATGTATAGCAGCCAAGCTCAATTGATCTTCGAGTATATCTTGTAACTGTTGATGATATTCCATCAAAATGTTTTCATCTCTCAACTTATGGGCTAGATGAAAATTCAGCCTAGTCTTCAAGCCACTAGATTGTACATTTTGTAAAATATGCTTGGATTCATCATACATGCCTAAAATAGCAACTTGGTAGATTTTACACAAGCAATAGTATCATAGTTACCCAAGTAGAAATAGCAACAAGCAACATTCACCAGGAAGTCATCATTTTCATCATCAGTTTTCAATAAAGTTTGATAAATGTTCAAAGCCTTTTTATAGTCACCTATATGGAATGCACAAAATGCGATCCATTGCTCTACAATGCCATTTTTCTCTGGCCTGAACTAGAACATCAAAATAATATATTATGGGTTATTTCTGAAATTACGGGTGACCTAAAAAAATACCTGGTGTATCTCTTTTATACTCTGAGGTGATGCTTCATAATAATTTTATTTATTTATTTAATAAAGGGATTTCGACACAAATGTGGAACCATTCACCCAATTTCAGTCCTCGTATCAAATATACAAACAAGCAAACTTTCCGGATTTCCTAGTGCAGCTATCTTTCTTGACATTAACAAAGGCACAAAGGAATACTTTACAAATTATGTACTTTGAACTGCCCTGAACATATTACACACTTAATAAAGGATTACCGAGACAAAAGATCTCTGCAAATAAAAGTACATCAGGCACAATCAATAATTTTCCACCTGCATCAAGGACTCCCTCAGGACTCACCATTGTCTCCATTTCTCTACAATATATAATTACTGTTTCGATATATTCAATTGGAACAATCAAAATCTACAAAATCGAAACACATTCATCTATGGCATACAATTTGCTGATGATACAGCCATTATACGTCATCATAAATCACTTGAAAGAGCAGTTGAAGAGTTACAAAACGCAATTCGGAACACTATGAGATGGTGTGACAAGTGGAGGCTAGAACCAAATCCAGAAAAATCCCAACTGATACTCTTCAATAAAAAAATATCAGATGATTCACCCACGGTAACTGTGAACAATCACGTAGTGAGAACTAGTTCATTAGTTAAATATCTGGGAGTTATTCACTTAGATCAAAAACTAAACTTTAACCATCATACCCAGTAACCCAATTGATGAGAAAAAAGTGCATCACAAGAGCTAAACATTTTCGAAGCCTAACCTACAAGAATAAAGGAATTAGCAAAAGAACTGCAGCACATATTTACAAATAAACCATTTGCCGCCCAATTCTTGAGTATGCTCACCCAATATACATAAACACGAGAGCCATTACCGGAATCCGGCACCCTCAAAATCCCCTTCACCATCCATCAAACGAACTTTTATATCGGCTTGCACCCTGGTCAGCCAATTTCTGAGAGACTGAAAAAGCTAACATTGAAGTTTTTCAAAAACGAATCCAATCTCCAACTTATCCAATTTCAGTGTTTACAGAAAGATCCAACAGTGAACCCAAGACGGAAGTATCCGGAAAAAAATTCAGAAGACTGAAATTCCTTCAAAACTCTTGCCTCACAATAGACTTTTCTTCTTTTTTTTTACACTAGCAAATTTAATAATTCCATATATCTTGTGCATATAATAATGATGAATTCAAACTCAATGTATCAATGTGTAACACAGGCTGAAGGACCTCGGTCGGTAGCCTTTTGGGTATCCAATAAAGCTCTTTAATTATTATTTATTTAATAAAGCGATTCACTCCACAATAGAACTTAATTATATATGATCTAGATGGCATAAGGACAATAAACATCACAGCATCGACAAATGAAATTCAACAATAAAATAAATGTAACTTTTTGTAAACACTACAACTTGTTGAAACTATTTCCTATATACAGCCATCAGATTGAACAATTACATTATGCCCAGAGAGGATGAAAAAGAAGAAGAGAGAGGAAAAAAGTATCAGTATTTTAAATATGGCTAAAGACTGAACGAACGGGTCAATGTAAAATGCGTTGAAATTACGCAAAATACGGGAAAAAGGGCTGAAGAACCCACAGTTGGTTCTATGATTATTTATAAAAAATAATTCTGTGTTTCTAGTAAAATATGATTTATAATCGGAGGTAACGGCCCGAATCGACAGATAAATTAGTTACGTTGAGGGTATCAAGAGCTGAAATGATGGTAAGTTCCCATTTTGTAGGATATGTGTTTGGCGAATCTAGCTTGGGCTTGTTCGTTTAGTGTGATATCACATATGCGTAGTATTGTAACCAAATCATACAGCCATATTCCAATAAGGAACATACAAAATATACGATGTGTTGCATGACAATTTTTTTTGTATTACGCGATAGAAAACCTACTATTCTATTGGCGGATGCTGATACTTTCAGTAGATGGCTCTTGAAGGTGAGACGTTAATCAAAGATGATTCCAAGATCTTTAATCTCGGTTACTTTTTTCAAGAATATATTGTTAATAAGGCAACATTATGCGAGAACGGGAGAACGATATTGTAAGGCATTTATCGGTATTTAGGTCGAGATTGTTGTCAAGGTAATGTTGTGAAACATTTGTAAGCCATCAGCAAAAACTACGAAACTTGCACTTTTGAATACATCGGAAATATCATTTATAAAAAGTTTGTATAGTAAGGGTCCACAGTGAGAGCCCTGAGGGTCACCTGATGTGACCAGAATATCGTTAGATATATATAGTTATTGATTTTAACTCTTTGAGAGCAGCCACTGAGGAAACTACTAGTCATTTCACAATATTATCCGCAAAGCCAAAAGAACGAAGTTTCTCTGATAAAATTAATGTGGTCAACTCTGTCAAATGCCTTGGCGAAGTCCGTGTAAATTGCGTCAACTTGTTCGCCCCCCTCCAAGACATCCAACATTAAACCCTGGTAGGTCAGCAGATTGGTTACCGTGGATCTAACGGAACAAAAACCATGCTGCTGAGGTATTGAAATGTTGATTTGGCAGTAACAAAGTTCGTCTAATAATTTTGGTAAAGTAGACTGTAAACAAATTCCTCTGTAGTTTTTGATGATGATGAATTCACGATCACCAGATTTGAATATTGGGGTTCCAGAATTCAGGAAGACTACATGAATCCAAAGACAAGTTAAAGAGGGGTATTGAATGGGATAGGCTAATATGTAGGAGGAATACCATCAGGGCCACTGGACACATAATAAATACAACACAATCATTTTCGTTGAAGGACAAGTAGAAAATACGCATATGAGCACAAAGTTACAAAGTACATGGTTATGGCAAACGGCAGTGTCAGTATAGTGCCACTGCCACTATAGTGCCACAGACACTGTTGAAATTCTGCTGTTCTGGAATAGGTCAGTAGTTACAGTGAGACTACCTACTTGTGCTGAAATTCAAAACAAATTTTACATACTGTGACAGTATTTTAATAGGTAGGTACCCTGCGACAAAGTATTTGTAAGTATACCTAATAATAATGCCTAGCTCTATCTTAGATAACCATTCTTCGGAAATCATTAGTTAAAATCAATTTAGAAATGGGTCAGAGGTCAGATGTGCATACCTATCATCTATGGAATACAACTTTCAGTAAGAAATAAAGGAACATAAAAACCAGACCATCACTCATTTGCTTAAATGAGGCATCTATCACCAGAATTATGTTGATGGTAGGTATAGGGCATATAGGGTTTAGCAAGTGGGTCAAATGAGAGACAATTGATTCCCTGTCATTTACTATCAAGTATTACCTCCATTAGCGTTACCGCTCCTGCATAGTCCCGTTTTCTCAAGTAATCTTCAAACTGCAGAGAACTTTTGGTAGCATTATTTCCAGAAAATCTTGCAATTTCATTATTAGACTGAATAGCTGGCTTTGCTCTGCTGAGTATCTGGAATTGAAAACAAATATTACCATTTATAATATCTTATCAATAATCAACCTGGAATAAAACCTTTGATAATATCCAATCAAAGACTTCGTTTTACATAGTGAAAACATACATATTATTATAACAAAACAGGTTGAGTATGTAGTATGCAATTGTGCACTTTCCAATGACAAAATAAGAAGAGCAAAGTATAGCTGTAAATGCAACCAAAACGGGAAAAACGCAAGATTTCGAACTTATTCTTGAAATATCTCCATGGGTAGTTGTTTTGTTCACATTTTCATCATCAAATTCGTTTTTTTCGAAAAAAAAAAACATCCCGTGATAAGTGCAGAATTACCGAGAATAAACTATTGTATGAAAATAAAAAGCTATAATAACAAGTTGGAGATCAAATCCAGGTAACTATGTGTTTAGGACTACTACAAGATCTGTGCCAAACTTGGAGAGAAAAATATAACTCCAGATAATTGGAAATACCATACTCAAATATAGAACCATTAGAACATACCATTCCTCACTCCACACTTTTTATAAACAACCTTAAGAATGCACTAACAACAACGACCAGACGAGTTGACGATGTATTTGCACTTTTGTATGTATTTCCCAAAGTTGCGTTGCTATGCCAATCAAATACCAATGAAATGAACTGTAAAAGCACACACAAAACCACATTACTGTTAAAAACCTAATTAATACTTACTGAGAAAGAAAAACGAGAGAAAAACAGACGAAATTTGGAAAATAACAAATAAGAACAATAATCACCAACAACTGCTAATCATAAATTACTAACGGACCAAACGAAAAAATTGCCTGATGCCGCAATGCCGGTTCATTGTCATGGTTACTTAGCCACATAGGGACGTAAGCCGGTTGAGGCATTAGTCCTTCCGCTCTACTGGCACTATTAAGTCTATGCTATTATGCCACAGTGCTACTGTAGTAAACAGCTCATAATATGCATGTCTCATAAATGCAAAAAATGATAAAAACTTTCAGTCGAAAAAGTTAGGTTGAAATAAATTAGTGACATATGACTTCTGGACTTTAGTGACACGAATTGTTGATTGTTTATTTTATTCTGTTTAAAGTTTTAATAATTTTGTCCTGATAAAAGTGAAAAAGTCCTAAATCCATTTTATAAGGGTTTAAATTTGTTCATTTACAAGGAACATTAATCACTATTCCAAATGTTGGACGACGTCAAACATATAATTCTGGTACTGTCTGGCAAAGGTGGAGTAGGAAAATCAACAGTCAGTACTCAGTTAGCTTTAACGATGAAAGAAAAGGGCCACAAGGTAAATTGAATTACATATATACAATAATATCAATACTACTTCAATAAAATTTACTCAATCAACAAACATTCAATACCTAGCCCATATTCATGTCCAATCATGAAACTGAAATTCTACCTACCTACCTACCCACCTTCATACTGGACTAGACAAGAATTTTGAGTTTTAAGTGTTTTCCACTATTCAAAAGCTATTTTAATTCAAAAAATATTATTTTAGGTTGGATTATTGGATATTGACTTATGTGGCCCAAGTGTTCCTTATTTGTTACAGCTGGAAAGCCATGATGTACACCAAGCTGATGGAGGGTAATAAGTAGATGATTAAAATATGAAAAATAAGAAAATTCCTTTGTCATGATTTGAACTATGCGGCACAATGTGATCATAATCTGTTGAGTAAAATAACTATTATTTTTGGTTACAGGTGGGTTCCTGTTTATACTGATGAAAGTCAATCCTTGGCAGTTATGTCTATTGGATTTCTTCTTAATGATAGAAATACTGCTGTAGTATGGAGAGGTCCTAAAAAGACAGCTATGGTAAAACAGTTTCTCACAGATGTCTGTTGGGGAAATTTAGATTATTTGATAATTGATACACCACCAGGTATGGTCATGTTGATAGGTAGCTTGAAGAGCTGAAATGGATAGCTTTTATTTTAAATTTTGAATGTTGCTGAGTTTGGATGAATTTGACTGAACTATGTGCTCAGTCAGTCATTTACAGTTTGAATTAAGGAACTTGATTCCTCCAAGATATGGAACTTGTATACATAAGGCCACTGTTTATATTAATTTTCATCTAGTGAGGACCAAATCAGCACCTGCTTTTCACTAGAAACAATGCTGCCCAATTTCAAACAAATCCATGAGATGATATTTGAATTAATCCAAGAAAACATTATCAAAACCATCACTAGAATTTGAATTAATTCAAGAAAACATTATTAATACCATCACTAGAATGCATCACCCAGACAATGTGCTACACAACCCACCCAATGATCTGCTATATTCTAAGACCAAGGTGCAGAAGATACAGGAAAGACTACCAATAACACTGTCTAAAAAATTTGCCTCCAAAACAGAGAACATGAATTTGATGGCTCCACTGATAATGGAAAGGACCAATGTTAGACCATAGATTTGTTTTTTTAATCTATGGTTAGACCAAGAAACAAATTTCCAGAAAAGTCTCTGATAACGATACTCCATGATCTAACTGAAATCCCATAGATGTTATCACTCACCTGAAATCATCTTGTTTTTTTTTTCAACAACAACTGTTTCCACTTTTCATTCCACTCAAAGGAGATAACATTTCAAAAAGAGATATAAGACCATATTGGCTGAAGGACTCAGGTCAATGGCCACTTGATTGTATTGTATTGTATATTTGTTTACATTTACATACCTATATGATCATTAAAGTACTTTATTATTATTATTATTATTAAAAAAACTTCAACACGATGTATCTTGGAAACAATGCATTTCCTGACCAATATTCATGGGAACTTTTTTGCATAAAATGATCTGAGGAATCACCACCTGAATATTGCCTCATCTTTTTTAAACACTATACATAAACAAGAATACTTGTTTTGATGTCCCCTGTCACCCCTTGAAGATTGTTGGTATATCTTTTCAGCACACCCTGTTCATTTGAGATCAGAAGAAAGAGCTTACAAAAAGCTCTACCGATTGGGAAAATAAATACAGAGTGTTCCATTTAAAAAATACCAATTTGAGTAAAATCACTAGGTTCTGAATACCCAGAAAATACTTAATGTTTGTCCATTTTAACGTTTCTGAAAGAAGTGAAAGACCAATATTACCTGAGATAGCTATTGAGTAAAATACAAAAAATCAACCTGTACATTAATTTTAGTATACTTGAGTATGATAAGGATCACTTCAAAGTGTAATATCAATTCAGGATCAGGAATCTATGATAAGAGTTTAAATCAATGTTTATTGTTTCCTGGACCAATGTCTAAATTCTTCTCCATTTTTAGCAGAAATTTATTTCCACAAGAATTTGAACTCCAAAATAATTTTCAGGTACTTCTGATGAGCACATTACAGTGATGGAAAACTTAAAGTCTGTTAAATTGGATGGAGCCATAATAGTAACTACTCCACAACAAGTATCCACTGAAGATGTAAGAAAGGAAATTACATTTTGTAAGAAAACTGGGATTCCAATATTAGGAATCATAGAAAATATGAGTGGGTATGTATTTATTTGATACTGTCTGTTACCCTGTAATGAAAATTGAAAATCAGAAAAAAAAATAAGCTAAAGCAATGCAATAGGTAACATGTTTTCCATGAAGTGTAAAGTTAATAAATTAACTAGCTTGGTTTGGAGAAAGTGTAAATACTTTGGTATTGCCTTTACATAGGTAAGAAGCTGAATTCTATTATTTCATAATTCTGCTTCACAATAAAATAATTCATGGTGTTATTCTTTTTGGTTGATTGAATTTATTTTTCCCAGGTTTGTTTGTCCCCATTGCTCAGATTGCACGAACATCTTCAGTAAAGGTGGGGGAGAGTCCTTATCAGAAATGAACAAAATACCATTCTTGGGAACACTGCCAATCGACCCGCGGATAGGACAACTTTTAGGTAAAGCATGTGTGAAGGAACTACCAGATTCCACCAGTGCCAAAGTATTTTGTGAAATTGTTAAACAAATTAGTGAAACAACATAATAGAAAATATAATATATATATATCTTTCTGAAATAATATCTTTATGTAACATTATAATGGGTCTTCAATGTTCTGGTTCCCACAAAGAGATATCCTGTAATGTTCAGAGAACATTGTGAGAACCAAGGGAGATGAGGTAGGAATTGGTGTTCTTCTTAAATTTGTGGAGGTTATATGCCTCAGGGAACACCTCCCTTGGCAATGTGTTCCAGAGCCTCGCTGTTCGTTGGATGAACGAGTATTTGGAAAGAGATGTTCTGCAGGTCTCCAAAGTGACCACCAATAAGGGGTGCGAAGAATCAACTCGACGGGTTAATCTCGGGGGGAATGCCAACGGGGGAACATTTGTTGATATTTCAGAAGAGCATCGTCCATAAAAATATCTATGAAATAGAGCCAGATCGCCAACTTTTCTACGGTGTTCCAGAGAAGTGAGTGAGTTTGTGAGCGAGGCATCGCCCACGAGACGAATTGCCCTTTTTGGACAGGATCCAACAGTTTCAGGGTATTTCTGGGTGCTGCACTCCAAATATGGGAACAGTATTCCAGGACAGGTCGGATCTGTGCCTTATAGATCATAAGCAGCTGACTGGAAGTAAAATAGCTCCTGGCCTGAAACAGAAAACCAAGTTTTTGGGATACACTTTAAGCAATTGATCTCACGACGTGATTTTCCCAAGAAATGTTATTGCTGATGATAATATCAAGCATCGAAATAGATGTCTTCAAAAAAGGTATGGTTTCTTCTGATAAGCTTATGTTGGGCACAGTGAGATCGGCTTTTCTAGAGAAAAGGCATGCTTGTGTTTTGTTTGCATTGAAATCTACCAAGTTATAGGATCCCCATTCGAGAATTGTTGCCAAGTCCATATTTATGTTGTCAACATTTCTCCCTCGTTCGTTTCTGATTTGCATGGCTGGTATTGAAGCCCTGGAAGAGAAGGCGGTATGGAGGGTACTATCATCCGCGAAGCTGTGTACTGGACTTGAAGTTGCTCCGAACAAATCGCCGATATGGAGTAGAAATAGTGTTGGTGCTAGAATTGATCCTTGCGGAACACCAGCATTTATGATAAGAGAGTCAGATGAAACTCCGTCGACCACTACATGGAGAGACCTGTGTGAGCGAAAACTAGCCAGCAGAGAACATAGCTGGGGAGACAAGCCATAAGATGGAAGCTTGGCGAGGAGTCCGTGGTGCTAGACTCGATCGAATGCCTTGGAGATATCAAGTGCCACGGCTAAGGAAGGTTTCACCATATTTTTCAATAGATTGCTGCCATATATGTGAGATGTAAGCGAGCAGGTCACCAGTTGATTTCTGATGACGGTAGCCATATTGCCTATCGTTGATAATGCTTGAATGTTCCAGATATTTCCTAAGCTCGATGTTGATAGCTTTCTCCATGATCTTTGAAATAATAGATAGCAGTGCGATCGGACTGTAGTTGCTAGGTAGGGTCTTTTTGCCCTTTTTAGGAACTGGTTGCACTCTTACAATTTTCCAGTTGAACGGGAATATCCCCAAATTGTAAGAGTAGCTGAACAACTTGCAGAGAAAAGGTGTTAGTTCGGGAGCACATTTCTTGAGAACAATCGATGGGATTCCGTTGGAGCCACAAGCTTTGTTGGTGTTGAGACCCAATAATATCTTCCTTATATAGTACGTTGGCGGAAGATGATCTCAGGCATATGCCACTTGGCGTTATGTTTGGAGGTTGATTTCCCGATGAATCCAGAGTGGAATTTCCAGCAAATGTAAATAAATGTTGGCTTTCGCATTTGAATACAGGGACAGATTTTCGTTTTCCACATTTTTCAATTATGCTCATTATAATTTTGAAAAGACCTTTAGAAATAAATCTAAGAGCAAATTCTATGAATGCGACACTCGGAAGATTAATTTAGGTTTTCTAAGTATTTCGAGATATCCATGCCAGTTCACTGTAGGTTAGCAAATCGAAATTATTGATTGAAAGCGAAATTTTTTTTATACAGCGTCCTGTGTAACGGAAAAATTTTTGGAAACTAGCTTCTTCAGGATTGGTTTTGAACAGCCCAATTCTATTTATTCTATAAGACTCTCTTCAAATTTCTGAGTAATAATCTTCATGCAGTGATCTTATTTTTCGAACTGATTGAAAGTCGGGTTCCAGAAAAGCCTAAAAATGATTTTGTTTTCATGTTTTATTATAAAGGTGAAATAAATTAAGGAATACAGTGATTGGTTTTACATTTTTATCATTTATTATACCATAGTATTTGCCTAATAATATATAATAATAAGAGTCTTATTCTGCACATGTAATAAATTACAAAATTAAGATAGAATAATACTTTGGCCTAGAGTGAATATTTTATGGTCACTCAATACCATAAACACGGCAGTTCTTGCCCCCAAAATCGGGCATAGTACATACAACATAAAATAATAATTGAATGCTGACGAAGAAGAAGAAGAGAAGAAAAAAAAATCGAAAATAAACAACTTAGAAGCACTTCCTGTGCACGATTGAGGGACCAGACTCGTCGTACTCCTGTTTGGAGATCCACATCTGCTGGAAGGTGGACAACGAGGCCAAGATGGACCCACCGATCCATACGGAGTATTTCCTCTCTGGGGGAGCGATGATCTTGATCTTCATGGTACTGGGAGCCAAAGCGGTGATCTCCTTCTGCATCCTGTCGGCAATACCCGGGTACATGGTGGTACCTCCGGAAAGCACGGTGTTGGCGTACAAGTCCTTACGGATGTCCACGTCGCACTTCATGATGGAGTTGTAGGTGGTCTCGTGGATACCGTTAGCTTCCATCCCCAAGAACGAGGGCTGGAAAAGGGCCTCTGGACACCTGAACCTCTCGTTGCCGATGGTGATGACCTGTCCATCGGGCAGCTCGTAGCTCTTCTCCAGCGAGCTGGAGCTCGCTGCCGTGGCCATTTCCTGTTCAAAGTCCAGCGCGACATAGCAAAGTTTCTCCTTGATGTCCCTCACGATTTCCCTCTCGGCAGTGGTGGTGAAGGAGTAGCCCCTCTCGGTGAGGATCTTCATGAGGTAATCGGTCAAGTCACGTCCAGCCAAATCCAGACGGAGGATGGCGTGGGGCAAGGCGTACCCCTCGTAGATGGGCACTGTGTGGGAGACACCATCTCCGGAGTCCAGCACGATTCCGGTGGTACGACCGGAGGCGTACAGGGACAGTACCGCCTGGATGGCCACGTACATGGCGGGGGTGTTGAAGGTCTCGAACATGATCTGCGTCATCTTCTCTCTGTTGGTAGAATTGGGAAAAATTCACTTTTAGTTAGAAAATGAAACTTGAAAGTTTCAGGAACTTTCAAGGAATAATGAAACATCCAGCATGACCATTCTAGCTTGGCCCCTGAGATGCGCAAACGATAAACAGAGATGATTAGTGTGCGACAAATATGCACAATGTATTTTTATTGGGAAGTACAATCATACTGTACTGTTCTAACCCATGTTCACTGAACCAATTCCTCAATAATAATGAGCTCTCGCCAACACCGCCCAGTGGTCTACTGCGCATCCAATTCTCAGAGGCCAAGCTAAAATGGTCAAGCTGTAATAATATGAAAGATTTGAAGGAATTTTCAATGAAAAGTTTGTGATAATGTACCGCTAATGATACCTAGTATATTGGGCTCATGCATAAGGCACTCTTAGTAACTTTAGAGTTTAGATAGACTATACTCTAATGAAATAATACTTCAAAATAATTCTACCTAGGAAAATATTGTATGGCAAGACAGCCTCACGCTATGGTGTAAATGTAAAGGGTGCTTCTCTCAAAATTGAACACTCCTATAGTAAGAATAAGAGTTTAATGAAACAACTAGATTTCAATTTCAATATATTCTTTGGTATTCAGTTTATTATTGGAACACTATATTTACTATTTGACAGGTCCATAAAGCCATCTTGTATATTTGGATCGCAAATGATTGAGTTATTGACAATTAAAGTTGACCAATTTGAGTAGATTATAAGGCGAGGCAGTTAGAGAACTTGGTGTGCTTTGAAAAAATTGAAAAATTGAATTTGGCGATCGGCAAACCGTAAGAACTACGAGAGAGTTAAATGAAGACAAAGTTGCGCATTTCAATGCCCAACAAAATGTCAATTTAATAGGAATGCTTTGAAAGATTTCTGAGAAAAAAAAAACGATTATTCGCGATATCTTTCTCATTTTTTTTTTAAATTTTATTTGAATAGATGTAACAAAACCAATTACACATTCTCATTGCTATTTTTTCTGTTCTACAAGATGGTGTTATCAGATTTTCCCACCAATGTTTCATCTTTGAGCTGCCATTAACTTTGTTTTTTTTTTCAATATGACCCTAGCATGTAAGGGAAACATTCATATATATGGCATTTTCCATAAGAACTTATATGCTAGAGAGACCCAGAATGGATTTTCCAAAGGATTAAGAACAAAACACCTTTTTCGTTGATTTTAGGGCAGTTCTTGAAATCCATGATGACAGCTCAAAGACGAAACATTGGTTTGAAAATCTGATAACACCATCTTATAGAATAGAAAAAGTATCAATGAGAATGTATAATTTATTTTGCTACATCTATTCAGATAGTCAAAGAAAAATAAAATTGAATTGTGAATTATCTTCTTTTTTTTTCAAAAAATGTCTGAAGTATTCAGAATTTTTCAACCTTCAAAACTACATTTTGTTAGTCATGAAATTGTGCAACTTTGCCTCCATTTAACCCTCTCTGTTGCTCTTACCGTTTCCGAGATCCCCATGCATCTTGAATTTCACTCACCTAGTTGTTCATTTCTGAAAGATAAGACCATATACCAAATCTTGAAATCAAGTCAAAATATTTCATCCATATCATTCATATTTACTATTTTTGAATAACTAAAAAACTAAAAAGTTGAGTAGGGGTCCAATTTCAAGAGACGACTCTGTATATTGTGTCTTCCTGCTCCCTGCAGTTCATTTAGCCATTTAGGTAGAGGATTCATAGGTGAAATTCATTTTAAATTTTCATTAATTCGCGAAAATGCTTGTGTTTCAAATGACTGATGTAGAAATTTGTGATTGAAACTTTCAAAAGGTTCACTTCCAGTGGCCCAGTGGAATATTTCAATTCTGAAACTCAACTTGGAAATTTTCATCTGAAACCCTACCTGTTGGCTTTGGGGTTGAGCGGAGCTTCCGTGAGCAGAACCGGGTGCTCCTCGGGCGCCACCCTCAATTCATTGTAAAAAGTGTGGTGCCAGATCTTCTCCATGTCATCCCAGTTGGTGACGATACCGTGCTCGATGGGGTATTTCAGGGTGAGAATACCTCGTTTGCTCTGCGCCTCGTCGCCCACGTAGGAGTCCTTCTGGCCCATACCGACCATCACGCCCTGATGACGGGGGCGGCCGACGATCGAGGGAAAGACGGCGCGCGGCGCATCATCTCCGGCGAAACCGGCTTTACACATGCCTGAGCCATTGTCTACGACCAAAGCGGCTACTTCTTCGTCACACATATTGGTTGGTTAGTACTGCAAAGAGAAGGAAACAATTAATATGTCATGTTTTGAACGGAAAAGTTGATGGAAAGTATACATTTTGGTCCCCAATATTTTTCTATTTGAGCATCTGAGAAAAATAAGACTTTTTTTTGTAATGAACATGTATCAGCAAACGCTTCGTTGCATATAAAACAGAGCCAAGTACCAAGCTTTAAAATGAAAAGCTTCTTTTTCTTGTAGCTCTTAGCTTTCGAAAATATTCAGATCAAATTTGACACATATACTTTACTCTTCAAGGTTCACATCATACAGTATGCCAACTGATTGAAAGAATATACAGGTAGATATTTTTCAGAGATCTGAAATTTTTTATATCCCACCGGTAAATTTTTCAAATACGAAATGAGGTCTGTTTTGTTTTCAAACATTCTTTGTCTCTTGTAATTTTTACGCATCTGCGACCGTTATCGAGAAAAAAAAAAGGATTTTTTATAGTTCACTAGATTTAATAGGAATTTTCAATTAAAGGGAGGAACCTTTTATTCCAATGAAAACAAAAAACGCTGCATATTTACTTTGTCATCTTAATTACAAGTTTCCAAACAGAATAAGAAACCTAAAAAATCTTGAAACTTCAACGCTCTATAGATCGGTATACAGAAGCGTTTGCGGACACATATAGACCTGAAAAATAAGTCACTGAATCTTGATACTGAATTTTGAAACACCCTGTATAATTTCATATTACAACAGAGATCATCATCAATCAACGTGGAATCGAAATATTGAGAAGAAATAATAGAGCTCGCATTTTCTAATCCCAACCCAACCTGAACAGGGTGATCCTCATTCATGTGATGATAGAATAGGATGGGACAACCGGTACCTACTGGTTAGAGATTATCAATATGAATTCAACAATATAAACAGGTAACATATAGATACTAAGTCAAAAACAGCAAAATTCTTACTAGAAATCACTAACCAGATATGAATTAGTATACGGGATATCTCTTTCAAAAATAATACCGCTTCTATTTTCACATGAATGTGGATCATCCTGTATATTCAAACAGGATTTGAAAAATGCGTCGGAGAAAAATAAAATCGTTCTAAATATTTCTGATTTGTCAGATATTGAGTTTATTCCATTTGACAGATCCAGACATGGTAATGAAAAATGTCTAGTGCATTTTTTTCTTTGAAAATTAACGAAATTGGATTTTGTTTGTCCACTGTCTGCAATAACTCAATGGCACACTATTGAAGATTAATAATTTGGAACTTGAAAATTATATCATTAATAAGATGCTAATTAATTAAAATGATGTTCCCTAGACTTCATTTTCTCATCTAATATACAGGGTGTGTGTGTATGTGTTTATATTTCCATTAAATATTAATTACGTAAATTGTGATTCTCAAGAAAAACTCCATTTGGTAAGTATGATGTACCTATATGTATATCTGAATTATTAAAATTGAATGTTTGAAGAATATTATTCCCATTTTTTTCGACTAAGCAAACGCAATACCTATTTATTATATGTACCTAGTATATCAATAAATTTGAATATAGGTAGGTACATTCTGTGAATGAATTTCAAAGGCCCGCTCACAATTTCCGTTCGTCGAAAGAAACCGGTATTGCCTCAATCAAGTTTGTCCTGTTACATATTCAATGAACCCGATTCTTCGGTCTTCAAGAATGGAAGAAGACAAAAAATGAAACAAATGAATTCCCACGAGTGCCCCACCCCCACTCATTCAAAAAATTGAAAAATATTTGAAAAAAACTTTGTAAATGTAAAAGAGCTAAGGCACTGTCACTAAACAAAAACTGTAGAATCCAACGAAATTTTTCTAGAGAAATCACGATTCACGACCACACCTCGTTCTTCAAACACTGAAGAATTTCACTTTTTTCAAACAATTGCAAGACACTTACTTTGGTTTCTAGTAAAAAAGTATAAATATATATAAATAAATTATAGCACAGCTTTTAAAAAATGCTGTACTAGCACTAAATATCACAAGACTGGAATGTCTGAAATTCAAAAGTCTTGGAGCATTTATATAATTATTTGCCCCTCCTCGACGAAAACAGCTTGAGAGCGCAGTATCAGCGCTGGGTTTAGCCAATCGGGAGTAACACTACCATATAAGGCTTTGCATTGCATCGATTTTCCCCGCTCCCCCCCAAAACATCATTCTGACACACTTCTACGTGTATCTTTTTAAGGGGAATTTGATCGTTTCATTGAATTGAAAAGAATAAAAAATACCTACCATGAATAGACCTCAAATTGAACAAATAAAGTAAACCATCAATTATAGAATAGCTACATTCGATATTTGGCAGACATAAAATAAACATCACGTATCACGTTTTTCATTCGGGCTCCTGACAAAATCCTCTCTAAGCACGTGACTGACGTTAAAAATATCTGTACCGAGTTCCAATCTAATACTATTTATAATTCTTTATAATACAATCAACAACCACTGACTTTGGGGTAAAAATAGATCGGTGTGTAGTTATAAAACCACTACAAGTCAACGACAGAATTCAATTCATAATAACAGGTGCTATAGGAAGATATGCGATACGCCCCAGACTTGAAAACGCCGGTATCGAATTTAAGAATTTACGTTTACAGAAATATTATGATATACCTACCGATTCAAACGTATCAAGTTTCTTGAGAAAGGGTATACATTAATATAATCAGAAAATATTGAAATATTCTTACCGTTTGAATTTGAACAGGACACGTCACAAAACAACAGCAACAGCGAGCAACTATCGAATGGAAAGAAGCCGGTTGCGATTTCGAAGAAGTGTCGGTCCGATTCAATGCGACAAGGTAAAGCGGGAAGAATTTTTTGAATTTTAATCTTCGGATTTTCACCAAATGGTACTTTTAATTGATAGTTATAATATTTTTGACATTTACAATTTGATTATTAGTTGTCAAAGCTAGTTAATTTTTTGGAAAAACAAATGAATAACATTTCGAAGTTGGCGACCTACCCTACAGTATGAAGTTATGGACTTGCCCGCCCCACCACTCTCATTCACAATCGTTACCATATATGGGCATAAAGGCTATAGCGCTTGTCTATTGGTCGATTAACGGCAATGCTGCCTAACCTAACTTGAAGAGTCGAGCGCAAGATATTTTAATTTTACGTTTACGCGCACATCGGATATCAGGGATCATGTTGGTCGGCGGGGGACGGGAAGCGGGAAGCGGGTTGGCGGGCCATCGTGATGGTGATAATCGTGATTGTTCGATTGTTGATCTTGTCTTGTCTCATGCCTGATTCTCGATTCATCCTGTAGTCGCAGCCTCGTACGTCGACCTTGAAAATCTCAAGTCTGTCACAGCCCTCTAGCATCGTCTAGCAAGTATACCATTGTACCAAGTCTATATAGGTATACAGGGTGTATCTAAATAACACCGAAAAATCATATTCCCAGCCAACCATGAGATGTATAAGTGATGTATACGCCACATCACTTTGTGACATGCGATATCGCATTTGAAGTCACAAACATGTTACCGATACAACGTAGCGATGTGAAAATGTCCGACTCAAGCAACATCACTGTGACGTCGTTCAGACATGAAATGCGACATCACATGAAAAATCACTACCAGGTCACATACAAGTCGTGTACATTTCATATTTCAAATACATCACACTGCGACATCGATGATGTGGTCGCCGTACCTGTGATATTCGTGGGATGTATAATAATAATAATTATTCAACTTTATGAAGAAAATGTTTATTTTCCGAAAGTAAAAACAGATTATACAAAACTTATCATGACAATCACCCTAATTAGTGCGATAAAAAAAATACAAATATACATTATTCATAAATGATACATATCAAATACACTCACATTATCTTGGGATCTTTCATCCACCTTGTTTTAGATTGCAATATATTCCTATCTCAGAGATAATTACAATATTACCTATTGTGATTGAACCCACCGTCGTTCCTAATTGATTGTATACCTCCAATTTGAAGCTGCTATAATATGTGCTATTAATCATCTCAGATATTTCAACAGAGAATTTGAAAGGAAATATTCTGTACGGAGTCGGACTCACTCACTGACTGACTGACTGACTGAATGGCCATGCACAGATCAACATGGCGTCTGGCGTGTGCGTTCGTTTTGCGCATGTCTGCGTCACACTCACAGGTCACAAAGATATCTCATGAGGATATCAATGTGAATTAATTAGTTAACGTCGAAGAGATGTAGTTTGAAGAAGTCGCTGCCACATTACATAGTTTCCTGGTTGCGATGTCACCTCACGACGTTGATATCGAATCTACGTCGATAAGATGTGTTAACGAGATATTGCATTTATGCAAGGTTGTTACATCACACAGATGTTGATGTCACACTATGGTTGGCTGGGTTGTAGCAAATAAAGTTCATTCCCAACTTGCTCCGTTCTTGAAACACAGGATGTTGAAGTTGGAAGTATTAATTGTTTTAATTTATTACCACCCTGTATAAGCTTTCATGGTGCAAAAATTCAGTATGGTTGGAGACTGAGAAATTCCCAAAATTTCAAAATGATTCTAATTGGGGTTATTAGGTAATCACAATGGAAGTCTTGAAAACATGCCTACATTAAAATTTGGAGTCAAATCAATTTATTGATCAAAAATTAAGCTAGATATACAAAAATTACACAAATGATAAAAAAGTTGTTATTGCAATAGTTCAATCTGATGAAAATATGAAACTCAGAAAAACCGGTGGCGTACAATGACATTTACCATAAATATCGATACTTTTACCCACTGTGACGCCACTAGAAATCACTATTAACATAACCACAACGTTTTATTGAAATTGATGAAAAGACAACTGAGTAATGAATAGAAAAACGATTGTTCATGGAAATATTAATACCCTGTATCTCGGAAACGAAGCAAGTTGGGACACATGTTTATATATGAACTTTATTTCCTCAAATAATATCACAAAGGAATCACCCCTTGAATATTTTCGCTGTTATTTAGATACACACCCTGTATAAGAATATTACACCAAATATACCTACACCTCTTCTGTAGTCTATGCCTACACCTTCCCAGACAGCACAAATTGATTCTGAGAACGTTCTTGAAATACAGGGTGATTCAAAATTCGATGTAAATATTGCAAGGACATATTGTTGGGATCAAAATAAGACTTTTTCTTCATATAAACATAGGTACCTACGTCATAAAATACACCCCCTTCGAGCAACATCTACAGTATAGGTGAAAAAAAAGATTCACTAAAATTGTGACTAAAATAACAAACCAAATCTTCTGAAAACTGGCATGCATTATGTTTAAAGATAGAAATTCTGACTTTGAATAAGATGATCTTGTGGGACATAAAAAATTTTAAGAATTCGGTCTTTTGCATTTATTTCATACAACTAACCGTTTGCCAGAAAATTGTAATCAACGAAAGGAGGTGTCACGACATCGTTTTCAAACGCAATGGGTTAAACGCTTGCATACGGAGGTGATCGTATGTCGCATGTCGGAACGCATTTGAGACAGCTATTTCAGAGGCGTACAGTACTGGAATATGTGCAGTTGATCCGTTATTATGATCATTGCATATTTTCAGATTTTCAGCTATTTCATTCGATTCGAAGAAACAAAAAAATATGGAGTTCCCCTCGGAGTTCCCCCAAAATGATAGGTAATTTGCATTACGCATCATAATATTGGCAGTGTAATTTTGAAACACCCTGTAGGATGTTATGGATGTTGTTATTATTGTTTATAGGTATATATGATTAACAAACATAGAAAAGGTAGTTCAAAAGGTAGAGGTATAGGTATTATACCTATTTATTAATACATAAGTCAGAATAACAGTTTCGATCTCCGAACTCAGTCAGAGGCTGGATGATGGGGCAGGCCCGAACTGGGACCATTTGGGGCGCTCGGCTAAAGCCTGTAAAGGGGCCCTCTCCCAGGAAATTATTGAAAATTCAGCTAGGTTTTTATAGGAATATAAATATTCTAGACTTTTGTTGACTTCATTATTTATTAAAATAACAAATTCACAGAGTATTTTTAAGAATATCACAACACCACAATATAACACATGCTGTAGAACTGTCAATAATTAAAACGGAGTTCAAACTAAAGTGCAGTATTTTATTTTTATTCACCACCAATGTAATCAAAGTATAATTATATTATTTTATTAATAGTATATCATATCTATACATGAGAACCGGACCACCCCTGTAATAATTTTCGAGATATTCGGGAAGAACAAAATACAAAATTTCAGTGTTTCGTGAATATCTGAAAAACGACTGAAGCTATTCTAGATTTCTTAACGGATTCTGAATCAATATTGAATTTGCTGAAACTTTCGTAATTTAACCGACACCATCTCTCATAGTAATCAAGATCCCAATAGTGAGGATCGAATTTGGGAACACTGTATATAACATCATAGGAGATCATTTTATATATAGCAACAAACGTTTTTTGCCTAGGCAGTACTTTTTGTTAAGTGTCATTGAAAGGCCACTTTTAATGTCATTTGGAGGAAAACTATTTTGTAGCCACTTTTCAGAAAATCTTCTTGTAACTCTGAGACGAAGATAGATATCGATATGCGGTTTTCACCGCCACTTTTCAGAAAATCTTTTTGTAACTCTGAGAAGAAGACAGATATCGATATGCGGTTTTCACCGCCGTTATGAGTTTGTCATGAAAATATGCAGATAGACATCAATTTGAAGGATGGCTATATCTTACGCAATTCACAAGTATCAGCCAGAAGCCAGAAGCTTTGCGGTCAATGTGATATCCCGTGAACTCGGTTTGGAAGCGTCATTATCAGCATAATATACTGTTTTGAACGCATTGCGGTATGAAATCACAAGGATTTTCTATCCAAAGTCAGTTGGAGAGCATCGAGCAAAGACCATCCACCAAGGCACGTTCGGTGACCAAAGGGCACGAACTTTCCATACTAACTTCGAAAG